TCCTCATTGCACTCTTAAAAATCAAAGTGCCAAAAAGGGTTCTTTGGAGCGAGGTGCCATTGAAGAACTACTTTTGGTTCCATAAAGAAACTTTCAACTGATGGTTCTTTAAGGAAACACTTTTGTAAATGAGGTGTGAGTGAGAAGAACCTTTTTAAAGTTATTAAAACAAAACTCCACATAATGTAAAAGTCCTATACCAGTTAAAGGGAACCACACATCCAAGCCAAGAACCATTTAGGAACCTTTTGATTTTCAAGAGTGTACTCAACATTATGTACTACTTCACCTGCCAAAGCTTCAGATGGCTAACATAAGAAGGAATAAACAGAAAAACCACAGGGACAGCATTAAAATTAGAACTACTTCTTATCTTGCATACTTGACTACAGAAAAAACAAGGTATTGTTAACTGGTAAAAGTCAAAGGGCCATAGAAACTGTTGGTGTACGTAGAATTGTAATTACTATAAATAAATCAGAAGTCAAGGTTATTAACATTAACCATGTGTTGGCTTTCTACATCTATGGTTGTATTAGCACAACCACAGAACAGAACGCAACACAAAGTTTCCATAAAGCAAATGTAAACAGCTCCTATCAGCCTATGACACTGAAGAATGCTTAGCGGAGAAAGTGTCTGATAAGACTGCATCTAGATAAGGTTCTCACCTGTACACACCAAACCATCCTGGAAGATGAATCTACAGCACACATCGCACAATTCCCAAGACATGCACTCCTGAGTAAATGTGTGTCCTTCCCCTTTCTCCTCTTTAACCCGGGGGTCCTGGACACATTCTTCAAAAATGGTCCTCACGTCTGGAGGTTTGTAGCCCTTCTTCCTGGCCCTGTTAGCGGCTCCTCTCGCCTCCTCTCCTCCTCCTCTCTCTATGTCTCCTGGATCCAGAGCCCTGGGAGATCGAGCTCTCCTCTGAGCTTTTACTTTGGGCTTCATCCCAGGTTTGAGGTGTGGGGAGCCCCAATCACAACCTCCTAGCACCATTGTGTTGGTGGCCTTGTTTAGAAGAAGGAGTGATAAGGGGGGGACTGGATCCGTGTAGAGCGGAGGAGAAAACTTCCTACTGACAGGCATGGAGGCAGGTAGATGTTGGCTGAGGTACAGAAAGACAGAGAAGAGGAACACTCAAAAAATGAACATAGACGATTGACTTCCAGACTGAAAAGTTCAACATTAACTGCAACTGCATTTTATATATGCTGACTCTTATGTAGAGAAGCCTAAACCCATACTCAAGGAAAAGTATTGATACTTAAGTAAAACAAAGACTCAAGGAACCAGTACACAAGCAGCAGCTCACACTGAACTGCAGTGGTTCAGTACAGAATACGCAGCTAAAGTTTAATAGACATTATTCTTCTCTTTTTGATGGACGTTTAGTCTGCAATAAAATGATGAAGGTATGACCAATCATAGAGCAGTAGAGATATCATCAGTGTAAAGGAATTAAGTTCAAAACAGGACCATGACTCAAATGTTGCTGAGAGAAAAGTACATTTATTTCCGTTTTACTTACAATTGAAGTATTAATTGAAACGACTCAGGAAAGCACAAATTCACTAAAATGTTCCTTCAGTATGGGAAACCTAGTGGGTGATGAGGCTATAGTTATAGTACCGTATAATGACTTCAAACTGATGTAAAAATAGCTAACAAAGTGACTTTTGAGTAAACAACTCTTAGCAAAAAGCTGCCTATTGAACAGCAGTAGAGATTCTTATCACCATCTGCATCTATCAGCACTGGAACTTTTTAGTTCCAGTTTTTTAGCTTCTGTTCTTCTGTTTTTGATGCACTTTTGGTCTAAAATAAAAGGACAAACCTCAAAAGCCAGAGGTGTGACCAAACAAAACAGTACACAAATACATGATATAATATGTATAAAAATGGATTTAGTTCATGACTAAAATGTAACTGAGTAAATAGTATTACTTTCCTCACAAACTTGAATAAAGCTAAAAGACTCTTTTGAAAATACTCAGGAAAATACAAAGCCATCACAACGCTACTTGAATGTAATGTGACTTTACTAAAGTAATGACTCGAGAAGAAGTCAAAGTAGTTAGCAAAGCGTGCTATCAGCAACAAATAGCTTCCCTATAAAACTGTATTGGAGATTCTTAGCACATTCTGCATCTGTCAGCACTAAAACTGGAGTTTGTGAGGCAATATTTGTCTCTTTTCGTGACAATTTTTGGTCCAAAATAAAATGCTAATGCTAGAAAAGTGATCCGCGTGCGCAGCAGCAACGCAGTCAGGCAGCTTTTCACCAACAACAGAGTGATATTAACCCCAAAACAGGGGTCAGAAACTAAATGTGAAAGACGAAAATAAAAATGAGAGAAAAGTAGATTCCTTTCCTCGCAAATGTAACTGAGTAGGCTGAGTAAAAGTATTATCATTATCTAATCCATCAGAGGGCTGCGTTAGTACCTGAGGAAGTGTGAATAGCTGGCACTCACCTGTGGCGCTGAGCTGTGAGCAGGCAGAGCTGAGGGGAGAGAGTGTCTGATCTACCTGCTCGTCTCTCTCTCGGGTTTGGCTGGTGACTGAGCAGGTAGGCAGGTGCTCAGACAGACAGACAGAGAGGGGTTGGGTTGCACACAGCCGGTATGCAGAGTTCAATAGTGAGCTTTAGTTACATATCGCTGCCGTCGGATCAAAACCTCGTATGTCCATTTTTGTCATTTTTCAGTTTTTATCATAATTTGAAAATGCCTGTTGCTCTTTACGATGTGTGAAAGTTTCATGATGAATGGACCAACAGAAACAGCCCAAAATTACTTGGAAAAATTCTGGTTCCACTGACTTACATTAAAAGTAAAGTAGTTTTTTCCTTCTCCTGTAAAGTAACAATACAGATCCCTGCTGAATAAGTCATACCGTCCATTAAAATGTTTCTGTTGGTGTCTGATGGTGTTCAATAGTCACTAATGGTGTTGTGTGTTTTCCTGATGGATTGATATCACAGTGTAAATGATTCTATTGGTTTAACAAGTGTTCTGGGATTCCAGATACATTTGGTGTCCTATAGAGCCTCTAATGGTAGCCATTAAGCCAATTCCCGTCAGAAAGCCAAAGCATCAAGTTTTGGTTCTAATGGTCCTAAAGCTCTTTTTCCAGCAGGGATAGCAAGTTTTTTATTACATTTTTCAATTTTAAGTTAAAAAAATCCACCAATTTTTAAAATGTCTGCCCTGCTGAACAAAAGCCACAGAAACAATTAAGTGTTTCTGTTGGTTCCTGATGGTTTTGTAATGTGTTTGGGTATTTTCAATGGGTTGATATCACACTGTAAAGGAACCTAATGGTTTAACAGATGACCAGTGACTGATTCTAAATGCATTTGATGGTTTCCTAATGGGATCTAAAGGTGTTCTACAGGAAACTAGTGGTCTGTATTCCCATTAGAAGCCAAAACCATTAGGTTTTAATGCTAATGGTTTCTAATGGTCCTTTTTGGCAGCGTGCATAATCCAATTATTGAGATGTAAACAAAGTCATTTAGGGCAGTTTGGTGTGAAACGGCAGAGAAACTCACCCACTCAGATTTCTTTACAGTGGTGCTAGGAACCAGAGGTTTTGTCTACAGTGCAAATATAGCCATTTTATTTACTATACAAAACCACCAGTGAATCTACATACCTTCTTAGTTGTTGTGTGTAATGTTGATAATGATAAAATAGCATAAATCAGAAATTATATGTTTTATTTAGGGACTCTTTTGCCTCACCGCACCCTGTTTGTAACCCTCCACCACGAATGCATTTTTTAAAATATGCTTTAGGCTGAAAACTCATCTCAGAACTACTGCAAAGCAGAGTCTCAGGCATCAGACAACATATTTACAGCCATTTCATGTAATAGGTTTCTGTGAGGGAGCTTTTAGAGGCTTCATGTTTCAGATGTCTGGTTCCTATCACCACCACTGTGAACAATTCTGGCTTGACAAGTTTCTCTAGAAAAGTGCATTTCACGCCAAACCACTCTGATCGACTTTGTTTATATCTTAACTACTTAATTATGGCCTTTTTTTAATCAGATGATTTACCCTGGAAATATTTGCAATGTAATGATTCAAAATCTATTGAGACCAAAGGTTTTTTCGCCTGCCTTTGGGTCAGTTCCACTGGTCAATTCCACTGTATTTTCTGAGTACATACAAAGACCAACTTAAATATGTCCTCTGCAGTGACATTAGTCTTTGACTAAAATATGATGGTGTTGCCTTATTACAAAAAGTCAACGCTAGTTTTCTAAATGACATAGAAATTGTAAAAAAAACACAACAAACAACAAAACAAAAATACTTCATCATGCAAGACAACAGTGTGTCAAATGAAAGGGCAGGTGTATGAAAACAAGGCCCAGATGCTTTACATGAGTCATAAATTTATTATTTCATTCATTTCATGTTCAATAATAAGACTTTCTCTACTTCTTAATGAATATTTTTTATTATAAACTGTATTATTATTATTCCATGTACTTATTTTTCTAAAGAAAGATCTTATTAATGCTAGGTTCAATCTATACCTCGAGTGTATGTTTATAATCCAGGTTGTTCGGGGTCCTAAATAAATAGAGTCTTCATGCAGATACCTGTTTTGTGTCAAACCAGAGGACATAATTTTGTCAAAATTTAAGTCTCTAATTATCTTTAATGAACATCCATAAAGAGTCAAAAAACATATTTTTAAACTCACTTTTAAACATTTAAACATTGAACATTTAAGTTCAAGTGAGAAAAACTGAAACGCTTACATGTCACAGCAGAGGACATTTGCCAAACGTTTCATAAATTATTGCAAAACATACTGTGCTATGAAAAAGCCTTTAAGAAATTCATCTGCTGTGTATAAACCATTTATACAATCAAGGTACATACCATTTTTCATTTTATTCAACTAAAACACTGGATGTCATGTCAACCACCCAACTACTGTCAGAAGTAAATGAACTGAAAGACAAAACTGTAATAATAATTTAGTAATAATTTAATTATTTTAAAACGGTATACACATTTGAATGAAGTAATTTCAGGGTATCACTTTGTTGTACTTACAATATCACAAGTGACTTCATTTTAGATTAGCATTAGCATAATCGTATTTACGGAACCTTGAGTAAAAAAATATCCCCAAAAACACCCAAATACAAATACATATAAAAATAAATAAGTCTGTTTTTTTTCAATTGTAGGTATTGCCTTCCTCACACATTCTTCACAAAACCAAGCACACGCTTTCTCACTATTGCACTAAAGAAAAATATCTTGTAATCAATTAAAAATACATAATTTTGTGTAGCACCAGCTCTTAAAAAAACTTGTAAATGTTCTTTCACTTGTGACATTTGACTTGGTCCCTGGGAGTATTTGACTGATTTGTTCCTGAAATTAATCCTCCAGCAAATTCCTCCTAGCTCACTGGACTTCCTCTTCATCACTGTCACCTGTGCTAAAAACTTTGCCCTGAGAAGAGAAACAAACAAAGCCTTTTAGTTTAGTTTTTGTTAGTCAACAACCGGAAAAAACACTACAGGTTAAACAGGAAATAAAGTTAATAAAGCAGGCGTCTTGCTCTTACAACAGAAAAATACAATATGATAAAACACACCAATCTTCAAAAAGTAATGGACTGTTTTATTAATAATAATTACAATAAACAATTCTTCTGCCAAGCAGTGTAGTTCAATAAAGAGGAACTCCACCAATTTTTCAAAATGTCTGCATGATTAAATGGTGAAGACGTAAACAAAGGCACTGAGAGTGGTATGTATAGTGGTATATACCTAGAATGTATTTTTTACATCGATTCATGGTGGAGAGGTACATGCAGGGTGTTGCAAGGCAAAATAGTCTGCAAAAAAAAGTATTCTTTTCAGATTTACCACTATTTTACCTTTATCAACTCTACATATGAAAATATTGTGACACATGTAGACACACTGACAGTTTTCAAAATAAAATGGCTTAATAAGGTGTAAATGAAGTGGCGGTATTTGTTTAGCAGACACTGTGATACGTGGTTCTTATCACCTTTGCTGTAAAGAAATCTAAGCTTGTAAAGGTTTTTCTATAATGTGCCATTTCACATCAGACCACTCTGAATGAGTTTGTTAACATTTCAACAATAGATATGTGCAATGTTTGAAAAATTAGTGTAAGTCCCTTGTAACTGTAGGCTACGGTTGCCAAGCATAGTGCACACTAAGTACTTGTAACAGATTCGGACAGGCTCAGCCAATCAGATTTCAGAACCAGTCTGTTTTAACACTGAGATTGCAGCAATATTGAGTTAAAACATGCCTAGATTTGGTATAAATTACAGTATACTCACATAGCCCCCTTGTGCGCTGGCCCACGGGCTGTAATTTTCCTGCAGGTATTTGGCCCCAAAGCCCAGCACTCGGTTCATTGGGTGGCGGTCCATGATTTTCAGACGGCAGGTGACTTCACAGATGAGAGCTATCCGGGTTTGCTTTGGTTGGCTTTTAGGTGGGAGCTCTTCTGGGCTCAGTCTCCTTAAATAGGTCGTGGTTATTTTCTTAAAGTAATTATACGTTAGCGTGCGCTGTAGCATCTCCATAAGCACGTGGTTCTTCTTAATCTATAGGCAGAAACAAAAAAATGGGCCAATGAATGATAAAGGCAATACTAATTGTAATAATTAAAAGGGGCAGAGAAACATTCCCCTTCTACCTCCTTGTTCCTCTAATATGCAAAGTTGAGATGCCCAACTGACAGTTATCTCTTCTTGGAGCTCCAAGTGTGAGCTCCAAATAGCTGCTGTTATATGGAGTGCCTTTCTTCAAGGGTTTTTTTTTTCCCTGTTGCTCTTTGGTTTTAATCACTCATACGAGATAAACAACATGGGGGTTGATTAGAAGTGAGGTTTTATTCTTTCAAAAGGTATTTTCTCCTCAGTGGACATCTCAAAAAGAGAGCTGCTAGCAGGGACTTTTCTGCTTCTGTGTTTTGCTGTATTCTGCGTATCCAGTGGGATGTCGTGTTTTTAAGTGGTATCAAACTGTGATCTTGATAGATCTGCCCTCTCCTGATACTTAGGATGAACAGTGATTAAACTGCTTGTCTAATGTCACGTGTAGAAACCATAAAACAGTTGCACTGTTTATCTGCTGCTGCTCAAACTGTTAAAATGTGTGCATTTTTAATCACCGTTCCTCATTTTCATAACCATTCAAATGTTTTGTTAAACATGCAAACCTGTGAGTGAAATCTTGCATAAATAAAAATAATGCAAGGCCATGACTTATTAAGGCATGGGAATGCCTTACTAAGTTGTGGCCACGACTCAATTATCTCGTTCCCACGCCTTACAAAGTTGCGGCATCACATTATGACACCAGCAGGTCTCTGTGGTTAAGTCTTTGTTGTAGTCCCCAGTAAACTTTTGTTTTTTTTTCAGCCACAATTGTCTGCCTTTTTTCCCCCTTTTGGCCAAAAGGTTTCATTGTTGATGTAATGTTCGGTGGCTGAAAATTCAGTGCATCTCTAGAAAACAGTAGTTCCAAACTTTTGAACAGTAGTGTAAGTTCAAGTAATGCAAAATACTTCTATTGTTCTTTTCCTAACCATGATTTGTTACTAATGAGAATAAATAGAAAAATTACCAAATATAATTTGTAACATTATATAAAGTTCAAAAATACTTGTGCTGATGGCACAATAAGTCATATTAAATATTAAATAACAAATAATATAAATAATAATATGAATATTTCAATTTTTGTGGTGCCACCTTGTGGTCTGTGGTGCCACCTTGTGGACTAAATGCAATCAACCTGTACAGTAAATGAAAGCAAGAATATTTTGATCTTACACCCTGTTCACACTCGGTATTAACATCCATCTATGAACTGGTCATAAGTGGACAGCCACATGTAGCTGATTACACCACTGGGTCTTGAAAATTCAGTTCACATCTGTACTGAGTGCTGTCTACTTATCATCTGATCACGCAGGACGTATGTTAATGTCAGGTGTCAATGGGGCCTTTTGAATCAGACCATGCAGTTCAGTTTGAGTTGATTTAGTCTAGAGAACCTTGGCAAGCATGATGTTATAGGACTACCAACTTACCTCCTCATTGAGTTTGTCTCCCTGCTCTCTAAGGATTTCCACTATTCTCTCAATATCATCTAAAGAAGACACAGAATAAACAGACAGTTCATTTAATATTTATTCTATTACATGTTACAGGACAGAAGCAATGTTTCAGTTGTATTACTGCTAGGAAAAAAAAGGACATGATAATCCAAACAGCAAAGACTTACCATCACTATCAGTTTCTAGCTCACTGGGGAGGAAGTGCACAGAATCTGTGATCTTAGTCAGCCTGTTGACTATGTCGTCCACTTCCTGTTCTGGGCATGCTGGAATAAACAACAACAATGAGCTAATACACAGGCAACGGTGTTATTCAGACAAAGCAGACAAATCTGACACAGCATGTTTTGTTTCCCTGTTTTATTAGGTTATGCTCATTAAAACCCCACAACCCAAAGACCAGCATGAAATTCTTATTGCCACAATAAGAATCAGGACAGTTAAAGTAATATCTGTGGTATCTCTTATGATCTGTGGTACAGACATTTCTACAGGATTTCTTTATCAATCTTATATTAAACTTGGAAAAATACTGTAAGTTTACTACACGATACTACACAAGTATTATAGATGATCATAGTAAAGATGCCATGTCATTACAGAAGGGCACTGGAAATGGGTTTAGCAGAAAACGCTGAAGTGGATATCGAAGGGAAAAAAAAGAAATTAATCCAATTCAATCCAGTGACAAATCTATCCTGAAATTGTGTGATGTGAGGTCATTAGCTGTGTATTTCTTCCTGTGTGGTAGTAGAGCGTTCGAGTAGCCTGAACACAATAGTTCACTTTTAGATCATCTTAAGTGAAGTGCTTCAATTAAAAACAGCTATTTGTAAAGTTTTAGCAGTTTAAGGAAAAATATTGGTGCGTTATCAATGTAGGCCGATACTCAAGGTTTCAGTATCTGTATTGTTTCAGAAAAGAAGTAGCAGTATTGTGCCATCTCTAACAGGAAGACCGTATTACATGAACATTATGAAATGGAGATAACAATTTAATAAAATATTGAAGAGGTATTATTACATCACCATATAAGTCTTAGTTTTTTTATTGTGCTGCTACATTTCTTTTTTGTAAGAGATGTCCTGACACTCACATGTATCTGAGGCTGGCCGCCGTCCATTGTTTTCAATTGCGGGACCATCATCTTCCTTCGCTGGCTGAATGCACCTTAAACACTTCTGAAACTTAAATCTCTTCTTTTTCTTTTTGTCTGATGGCACAGGAGGCTTGGTCTCTTCCACCCCCTCACTCTGTGGGACTTGACTGTGCGTGGGGGTTTTCCTCTGTGTGTACTCTTGAAGGAGTTTGTACTCTATGCTGTCCTCAGAAATCAGAAAAGGAGTATGTCCATTGGCCTCATCCCTGGTCACAAAAAAGAGAAGGATCACAGTATTTTTACACAAGGCACCAGAAAACAAGTCCTTGAATGCTGCATACTGAGAGAGCAGCCAAAGGCTACAGAATTCAAAGGCTCACTAAACACTGGCCACTTTTGTTGACCCAAATCATTTCACAGTTCTGCTCAAGAGTGCTTAGCTGTTGCCTTGGAATGGCGTTAAAACCAATGCTCAACTTGGGGATGGGGTGTTTGCTAGGGAAGGCAATCTCCCCAGTCAAAAACAAACAAACAAAGATAATAATCACCTCTTGGAAATGCCTTTCTCCCTTTCCTTCACTTTGGATTAACGTGATACACAATAATCCAACGTTTTTATCATTGTTATGTGGTATACTCTGAGATGTTGAGATGTTTATGACTGATATTTCAATTCTGTCAGTATTTAGTATTTATAAAAGACTGAAAAGACTGAAGTCTGACACCCTCTCACATCTAAAGACAACGTCACAGACTATGATTTTGCAAAGACTCAGGATCTTGCAGGGTCACTACTTGCAAGACTGCACCTAGATTCTGACATTATTTCCCATCATGCACCTGGTGGAAATTTACAAGCAAAGAAACCCTTTTCCGTCTCCACTCAGTGGTACAAATGGGAAGATACATTGGCTGGGCATGTAAAGATCTGGGGCTCAGCCCAGTTCACTGTAGAACTGTATATCTAGCAGATCATCATCCAGATTTTTTTAAATTAACCTGTAAAATGTGCAGTTACTTTTTTATTTAACTTACAGACTTGGACAACAACAAAACATGCAGTGATTCAGCATTGTTGATTGGGTGTTATGAACTAAATCATAAAAAACAACCAAACAAAATGAGAAACCAATGTAACAGAAAGTTAAAAAAAATGTAAGGAAAAACACTGATGCTTCCTCAGTAATGCTATTTTTACAGTCCTCTGCACATTTCCTTACATCACTGTTACAGGCTCAGTAAACTTGTAATATTAAAACAGATTACATATTTAAGTTAACATGATTATTGTATTAAAGTGTATTAAAGTATTTGCCTTGTTTACAGAGATTTCAGGCACTCATGCATCCATTTTTTTCTCCCCTGCTCTCGCTCTCTCGCGCGCCCCTGGTACGTCACTATTTGAATGAGTCAAAACTTATGATAATATGAAGCGCCGGCGTCCTGAACACCTCGCACCAAACGATCGAGATGACGTCAGCGTGACGCGACTCTAGCAAGACTGTACATTGGATGTTTGTCTACAGTGAAATGTGTAAGGCCGGCATTACTGGCACAACAAGAGTCAGGACAGTTAAGGTAATACCTGTAGTACCTCTAATGAAAAACATCTGTGTTACAGGCCGAGTTGGGTGTATCCAGAGTTCTTCACTTCAAACCAACCATTTACGAGATACAAGTTACGAGTGCTCATGAGGAAACCGGCTTTTTGCTGGACAAAAGTCTAATCATTAGTCCAGTAAATGTGACCTGTAGAACTACAGAGAGCTCACAGTGGGTTCCTATGACAAATGTGCGGTCTAATTACAACCAAAGGCAAGAGAAAAATAGTTTTATATACTTTTCATAAGTGTTAAGTTTCATAATGTATTTACATCTATTTTTACACACAGAAATGAACAGTATTATGTATGTTTGATCTCCACATTGAAAATAAAACAGTATATATTTAATCTACACCTGTGGTACACTGGAGTATTTAAAATGACACATTTAGCCTAAACATTTTTACCATACATCTTGATAAGAAAAAGTAGCTGAAATGTTTTCCTGCGTAAAAAAACACCTGACATTTAAAAATGTTTTACAGTTCAGTCACTGACTGAAAGGAGAGAAATTCACGGATATTAAAAGAAAGCTCGGCTCAGTCAGGAGGAGTTTAAACCGTCTGTCTGCTTCCTGCTTACAGCTTCAGCAGGAACACAGCGGTCCGTCCGTGAAGGCTGCCGAGTTTAGCGACGGAGCTCTGAACACGAGCGAACGAGAAAAGAGAGAGGATTTACTTCACCTTCGCTAAGCAGCCAGAACAAACTTAATGTGCAGCTAGTTAAGTTACTCGTTAATTCTGCCTACTTTTCTCCAGAAAACAGACCGAACAGGAGAAAGCGAAAGTGAGGGAAGTTAAGCTAGTTAGCTACGTTAGCTAAACACAGCTGAGCTGACGGTATTCATCTCGAGTAGTCGATCTTCGCCCGGGCATGTTCTCCTCCGGTCCTCAGGTCAGTTTCAGCCTTTCAGTTTTACTCAGTCATCACAGAGAACAGCTGTTACACCGTAAAAACTCGCCCGTTTTTAAAATACAGTATCACAAAATGACATTTCCTGTTTTTTGTTTGTTTGTTTTTGTTTTGTTTTTTAACATTCCGGCACAAACGGTGTCGGTGGTGGGTCTCACGAAAAGTCTTGTCATGTAACGTTAATAAAATTAATTAAAATTAGATTATATTGTAAAAATGTTACAGAATAATCCAAATAAATAAAGATTACTCAGTCGCTCCGGTCCCCCTACTTCAGTCAGTCACTGAACAGATTTCTATAGTCTTTAATAAACACAGTCAGACGTTCAGCCTACAGTCCACAGCCAGCCATAACGAGAGCCCGTTCACAGTGTGGGTTTACAGTAACTCGAGAGTAAGAGAAGTTCAGACACTTACGTGGCTCGTTGTGTTTTCTTGGTTTGGTTAGCCATTCTTCAACAGCAGGACTCCTCGGCTCTAAACCAAAAGTTCTGCTGTCTCTGAGCGTCACCGACTGTGTGTTTTATAGCATATATAGTTAGAGGGGGCGGAGAAACAGGCAGTCAGGCATTCGCCTAGTCTGGCATCGAACTTGAGTCAAAGCAAACTTCTTTTTTATGCTTCAATCCCCCTCAAACTCAGAGACCGTCCGAATAAGATGTGGGCGTTCAGCTGAAGCAGTATTGAGGCGCACCACATCCCGTTGAACAGTTACACGTACTCACATACAGTCGTGGTAGTTTTCTAATAACTTAGTCACACAATGAAAACAGGGGTGCCAAAACTAGGGCGAAAGTGTAATGTGTGTAAGAAGATAAAAAAGTAATGTATACGGATAAAGGTTAGTAGGATTCAAATTGAATAAGGAGTGCATTATTTTACTTGTGTTTTCATTGACAAATCTAGGAATACATTTCCTTTGATACAGTTAGTGCAGTTAGAGGCGATCATGCCACATCAAGCCTCAGCTTTTTTAAATTTGATAACTATAGACTGTATGTTTTGTTACTGAAAATCAATCCTTAACGGCTAGCTTTGGGCAGCCCTGCTCTAAAGAGATTAAAATGTGTGTAGTAATATCTTGGATGAACATCTAGCAGTTCTGATTTGAATTTGATTGATTATACTTGTAATTATCATATTTTTATTGTTCACACTCAGAATCGGATTAAACATATGAACCAAAGGAAATGTTTCAGTTTGTATATGGACATTGATTCATTTGGACTAATTTCATTGACAGTGTCTGTATTGCTGCAATGTATTACACTTCTGACCTTTGAGGTTCAGCATTTATTTTAGCCCAAGAGTAATCCATCATACATCAGTTCATATACTGATAGATGCAGGATATACTCAGAAGTTCTATACGTTACTCAGTACTTATGTAGTACTTAAGTATTTTTAATTTTACTTTACCTCTGGCACACACATAGTAATAATGCATTATTTTTCCTTTTTTCCATTCTTTTTTTAAAGATTTTGGTTTATTTATGTCACTGTTGTAAAATAAGGTCATACAGGTGTTACATGTGTAATCGGACATGCTTTATTCTCAAGTGCTTTACTTCAATCTGTCAAAAATAATTAACTGGACACCAAGTAACAGTGAGTGTAGGTGTGAAATCTCTGTAAGTCCAGATGTGAAGAACATTTTTTGGTCTTAATTATAAAGCCAGTCTCAGGTATGGCACAGGGAAAGGCCTTAAAAGTGGATCTGTGAGTATAAACAGAGGCAAAATATGTATTTTTTTATTCATTCAGATCAAGAAACTGCACTGAGGGCAATGAATATTCAGAATAAAGGTTTTTTTTTATGATCTAACAGGGCAGAGAGACACTGATGGTCATTGATGGAAGATAAACAATGGTTTTTTTCACCCTCAGCATAAAGAATAGACTACATTTTGACAACCTTATTCATACTTACTCATAGTTACAGACCACACTGGTGTTTTCCAACTGCGCTTCTTCTTTAATGACTAACATTCCAGAAAGATGTGAGACTTAATGTAACACATCCATAGTAATATGTCCACTGGTAAAAACCCTAAGACATTAAAATAGACACTAAAATACACATCTAGGAAAAAAAAGACATTCAAGTAATCCCATCTTTTAAAAGATAAAAAAGAGAATCATTGAACAAGTATATCTGATAAGTTATGCTGTTTACCTTAAAAAAAGAGAAATAAACAGAGAAATAATGCCATTTCATAACATCATTGAGGGGTGAAAATATCCAGAGAGGTAACAAAATCTCATGCACAACAGAGCTTTAAAATCACAAGTGATACAAAAAGAAAAAAAACACAGCAGATCAATAATATATAAATCACTCTCACAGCCGGTTCAGCGTTGTGGCCATTTTCATGCAGGTGCTTTAGTTTTTCCTCTCTTTGTTTTTTGTGGAAAAGGATACGGCCACCGTTAAGAGTGCAGGTCTACAATATCAAAATGAACACCAAAAGCTACTGTTTAATGTGTACTTCTTACATTCGGTCCACGGAGATCAGAGATTGCACACTTTTGTCTCTTTTAGTTAGCCTTGCCAATCTTGTTCGGCAATACAGTGAGAGAGGGCTACCAAATCGAATTAAAGAAAGTTCCTGAATTCATTTGGAGACAGAGTCATACCATCTTCATCATTGTCTTCATGCCACTACTAAAAACAGATCACACGTTCCATCACTTAGCTTGTAGGTGCCTTAGACAACCTTTCATCTATTAACATTAATGTAATGTAGAAATAAAGAAATAAATGCACAAATGTCATCCATTCATATTGCATTGAATATGGCTCAGATTATTCTATCTTTTGTTTCTTAAGATAAATAATTTGACTATCACACCACTGTCACTGCACACAAAACAATAATAATAATAATAAAAAAAAACAGATGCTCATATTACAGATATACTGTATGTACACTGATAATAATGTTGACCAATTCAGGTTTTCCACATTGAATTCTCTAAAATATCATCACATGGTCTGTTGATTGAGTCCTGATATGGAAAGAACTTGGACACCCACTCAAAAACAAACCAGAAAAAAAAAGAAATTTCTAGAATGACAGGCACATAATGTCAACTCCCTTAGTGGAAAGAAAGACTTTTTAGTCACTGATGTTAATTACACGATATTAACACAATGTGTCCGAATGGCGCTCTTGCAGTCGTGTTGGCCAGCTAGCAGAGGTTCCTCAGTGGAGGGATGTACTAAAGTGTCCAACAGTCACAAAGTGATTAGTGCTCTATTCCAAGCGTGTTGAGACTCAGTAGCAGTGCTGCATGGTTGGTGGTTCAAATACCAAAAAGCTTACATAAATGATGGCAAACCTCACATCACAGAGGAAGATATGTGAGGCCTTTGCCCACTCATGTATAACATATCATGTAATACAGGCAGAAACTAGAGTTGAACATTGTGGTTGACTACATTTGGTCAAAAGCAAACAGTAGTTTTCCTTCACGTGTTAAAAGGGAGTATTAGAGATGTGGGTTGGTTTAGGCAGCAGTGTAACATTCTGTGTTCCTGCGTTTTCTCTCAGTGTCTTGTCAAACATCAGAAAAGATTCAAAGAAGCCTTCAAGGCCACCACTTTGGGTGGTCTTCCTGGCAACCAATCCCACATCTAACCTTATCCCATGAACCGGGCCATGTGAGAGGAGAACCAAGTCTTTTAAAAGAAAGTACAATCAGTCTTTCAATAAATAAATCAATAAATTAAATCAATAAATAAACGTCAAAAACAAATCCGTTCAAAGCTGTTCTAAACCCACAGTGATTCCAAGGAAGTAACAGCAAGCTATTCCTTTTCAGTGTGGTTCTTCTCCAGAAAGGAGACCAATCCCTGTATGAGCCTCCTTTTGGTCACTTCTATGACCTTCTCACCTCTCCATCGTATTTCCTCTGGATGTGAGCGAGTGAACTCTGATACCTCCGTGAGTGGCGAAAGCCGTGGAATACGGGGGACCAATCTCTTCATACCAGGTGCAGTGTTTGCTCACACGGCCGTCTCCAGGTCCTCACGTGCCGTCGGCTGTTCTGACAGTTGGCTGTCCAGATAGGAGGCCAGTTCAGAGTCACCAGCTTCCTGAGCACAGTCCTTAGGAGTTTTCCCCTGAAAGAAAAGCTCAAAATATGCATTTGTGATATACAGTACTGTGAAAAAGTCAGAGACCACCCCTTCATTTACTGAATTTCCAGTCAAAAAGGCAATGAAGTTATTCATTTTTCAGAGTAAGGAAAAAAAGAAAACATACTTGATAGAAAATTACACAGAAGCCCCACCAACTAAATATAATATTAGGTATTCAGTATGATTTTCAGTATGTAGTGTGTCCACTCTTTACCATAATTACAGTTTCCATTTTTTTAAGAGACTTGCTTTCAGTTTTCTGCAAGAATATTTTTTCCACACTTCCAAAGTCTTAGAATTTGGTTGCATTTTCTGCTTTGCATGATCAAAGTATTTGATCAGCAGATTTTCTTCTTTTTGTCTTTTTCCTAATTTCTAATTTTACCAGGAGTGCCTAAACATTTGCATATTACATAATTCCAGTTTTGGAAACTCATGTTTTTTTCAGTCATTTCCCTTTTTCTTATGCAAGTGGATTATTTTATATCTAATCTTTTCAGAAATATCTCCTGAAAAATGAAAAAAATGTGTTTAATTGCCATTTTGATTGGAAATAAAATAAATCAAGGGTAGGCTCTGACTTGTGTACAGTGCTGTAGAGAATGTCTGCCAATCCCATGTTTACCCTGTTGTTCTATCATCTGCTGAATTACACTAGAAAATGAAAATAAGCTGTCATGACTAATGATGATATCACCTACTCTCAATTCTTGAAATACAAGTTAGATGAAACGGGTACTCGAGGGGAATAAGGTACGTTGAATAATGTCAACCAAGTAATGTTCACTAAAATACATCAGAATACATTCAGAGAACAGGGGTTTTGTGGTCTGTTTTTTGCTGACTTACTGCACCTGATAGGACTCTGAAGGGTGGGCTCTGACTTATGTACAGTACTGCAGAGCAGTTTTAAATACACAACTAAGCTTAAAAGTATCAAAACATACATTTTCCCATGTATAGTCTTATCTACGATCTTACAGAGCGAAGTTCAAGAAAGGTAAATTTGGTTGCATTTTCTGCTTTGCATGATCAAAGTATTTGATCAGCAGATTTTCTTCTTTTTGTCTTTTTCCTAATTTCTAATTTTACCAGGAGTACCTAAACATTTGCATATTACATAATTCCAGTTTTGGAAACTCATGTTTTTTTCAGTCATTTTCCTTTTTCTTATGCAAGTGGATTATTTTATATCTAATCTTTTCAGAAATATCTCCTGAAAAATGAAAAAAATGTGTTTAATTGCCATTTTGATTGGAAATAAAATAAATCAAGGGTAGGCTCTGACTTGTGTACAGTGCTGTAGAGAATGTCTGCCAATCCCATGTTTACCCTGTTGTGCTATCGTCTGCTGAATTACACTAGAAAATGAGCTGTCATGACTAATGATGATATCACCTACTCTCAATTCTTGAAATATAAGTTAGATGAAACGGGTACTCGAGGGGAATAAGGTACGTTGAATAATGTCAACCAAGTAATGTTCACTAAAATACATCAGAATACATTCAGAGAACAGGGGTTTTGTGGTCTGTTTTTTGCTGACTTACTGCACTTGATAGGACTCTGAAGGGTGGGCTCTGACTTATGTACAGTACTGCAGAGCAGTTTTAAATACACAACTAAGCTTAAAAGTATCAAAACATACATTTTCCCATGTATAGTCTTATCTAAGATCTTACAAAGCGAAGTTCAAGAAAGGTAAATACCTTGAAATACATGTGCAAGTGAAACTGAGCTGTTAGGACTAATGCTAATATATCAGCTAGTCTCAACACTTAAAATACATTTTAGAAGAAAAGTGAACTGGCAGGAGTAACACGTTGAATAATGTCAACCAAGTAATGTTAACTGCAATATTTCAGAATACATTCAAAAATCAGGGTTTTTTGTGGTTTGTTTTGTGCTGACTTACTGCACATGATAGGACTCTGAAGGGTGGGCTCTACTTATGTACAGTACTGCAGTTTTAAATACTCAACTAAGCCTACATGTATCAAAACATACACTTTCCCATGTATGGTCTTATCTACGATCTAAATACATGTGAAAACGAGCTGTCATGACTAATGATGATATCACCTAGTCCTGAAATACATTTTAGAAGTAACGTGACTAGCAGGAATAATGTACGTTGAATAATGCCAACCAAGTAACGTTAACTAGAATACTTGTCTCAACATGCAGAGGAGATTTAGTGAACAGTGTTTTTTGTGGGCTGTTTCTGGGGCCTCACTGCACCTGATAGGACGTCATACATAGTCACGGGTTGCAAGCCAAGAAAAAAAGACTCACAAGGAAGTTTGCTTTGTTGGTAGAAGCCCCGGCCTCCACCAAGCGTCGAGACACGTCATGATGTCGCTGCTGAGCAGCTTTGTGCAGTGCGGTGTCTCCGCTAAAAGAAAAACATTACGTTATGTAAGCGCTGTGTATGTCACTTCTAGCGCATTGTGAAACACATCACTGTTGTAAGAAAAACTTTGAAGCAATAACCATGTGGGGGAAAAATCTTCTAAATGTCTGTTAATGTCACTTTGGAAGTTTTCTACTAGTCCACTTCAGACATTGTAAAGGGCATCTAACATCTTCAGACAGCACGTGACAACAATAAGCAGATTATCTACTGATACTTACGTCTCCTTCTCTGTTAGATCCAGGATCAACTTTGAACCTGGAAAACAACAGAGGGAAAAACATGAAGGCCAAACACAGTGCATGGCCAGCGAATGCAGAGATTTTTAAGAAAAGGTTTTGTGTGGGTGATGAAAAAACACTTTGTGTGGGTGATGTGTGAAGTCTACACTTTGTGTGCGTGATGTGCAAAGAACCTTTGGCACATTGCATTCCACTGATAATGGTGAAATGGTTTGGTTTGTGGTTTAGTACAAGGACACATAGGCCAAATTCAAAATGGTGCCCTACTCCTTATGAAGTGCACAGGACATAAGCTAATGGCTTTTACACCCAGTGCAGAGCACAAAATGCCAAATTTGGTGTCATTGAAGATTAAACTCTGAAGTGTGGCTCTCACCGTGCTGCAGGATGAAGCTCACTACCTCACTGTGGCCATTCTGAGAGGCCAGGTGCAAAGCAGACTGACCTCCTGAGTCCCTCACCAACAAACTGAGCCCACTACTACAAGAACTGGACAACTAGGAGAGGAAAAAAAAGAGATGTGAGAAATAAAACGACATAAGCAATAATCACTGCGATGAATATCCTGATGAGAAACAATTCATTTGTTCTTTTTTACTGGTGCACGCTGGTATAAAAATAAAAAAACCCAAAACATTCTATTATACTTTACTGATCCTACAAGGGAAATTTGTCATTTTGCTGCCTAACTACAGTCATATGCAATATTCAGGCACGTATGGCCGAATTACGTTTGGTCAAAGAGAAAATAACCACACACTTTAATTTAAATCACATTTTCATGCACAGTTACTGCTTATTTGCTGAGCTTAACATATTGGAAAATAAATGTGGCCTGTAGTTATGTAATAGTTGTTATGGCACATTTTATATTTTATGATTATTTTTTTTCATTATGTAAAAATAACCAAATAAATAGAAATTCTGCCCTTAAATGTGCAGAAAAATGGCATGTTTAAGGATGTTCCCTGAAGAGGATGGATTAACTTATTTTCAACAAAACATTTGACAGAGAAGCATTTCCATACAATTGTAAGCCCAGTCTAGGAGCAGCACAGCGTCACCACCAGTGCCTTGGCCAAGGGCACAACCAAGTATACCCAGTCCTGTATATTCAATAAGTATATTCAGTCCTGGAATTTGAACCCATGAACTAATGGTTTCTGGCTTACTTCTCCCACCACTATGATGCACTGAATTTACATGATTGAAATGTGAACATCGTTTCCATATCGATAAAACATATTACTTCAAGACAGCTAACAGTACCCTCCTTTGAGCAATGCCACATTTAAAGGACTACTTCCTTTAGGTTCCCTAAAGCAGTTGTTCTCAAACCAGTCCCCAGGGCCCCCAGACAGTCCACACTAGCTCCTTTTACGCTTGGCTTTAACTTTGTGTTGGGAGTTGGGATCAGGCAAAAATGTGAACCATCTGGAGGGCCCTGAGGACTGGTATAAGAAGGTTCTGCTGCCCTACCCTCAAGGGTATGTCTTTGGTACTTATAGTTAGGGAACATAATTGTACCTTTTTAAATGGTGGTTAAATTTTTTTAAGCTGCATGACTCCATACAACCTGTCTTGACTCCAGGCATTTTGTTTTATTTTTCTATTTTTTAAAAAAAAAATATAGTAATGAAAAGGTACACCTTTTGTAAATGTAGTGTAACAATGAAACTCACAATTCAACACAACATGTATCTGTGAGGACACATTTACGTTGTTTGTACCTTGGAGAACTAAAATTTAGCTGGACAGTACCCTCTTAGTGTGTTCTTTTCCATTTGTGAATGTATCTATTCCACACTGCTAGAGAGGCATCTTTTTGTACAGTCATGCCACACTCAGGTGTAAACAATGAGCCTGTGATGTTTCTCACACCCCCAGCAAACATGAAGACCAATGATTATTCAGTTTCGTTTCTAAAAAAAAACAAGCATGTCTGGAAATGTCTGGCTTACCGTTCTCAGATCACCTGAGCTGGCTGCAGTCAGCAAAGCTGCAACACAGACATACAACCAATGAGTTTAACCACTCACCTTTACAAATCATAAGAAAGTTAGATCTTCTGTAAGTCATTCTAATTCCTAAATGCTCTAGCTAGCGTATCTTCAGGTGTAATTTAGCTCATTTCTACAAAAGGAGATGGGGATAGTTCTACTGGGCGGAGCTTACTCCTCGTGACTCATGTGATCTTAAGGGATTTCCCAGATGTCAAAGTCCTATGGAATGACTAATGGTAAACTTACGGGAAAGAAACATTCCTACAGTTTTTGCACCTGCTTGTATAACGTTGCTCATAACCTTTCACCTAAATGATAAGTTTGCATACTGTACCTTGTTCCTCTGTTGTCAAAGGAGCACTGCAAAGACAAACGGGCAAAAGAATGAGCCACATTTTACCTTTTTATTTCTGATTTTTCATGTTAGACTTTACAATGCAAAAAAACACTGTAATAAGCAATGCCTGTTTTACAACAAGCTTTGACATTTGAGGTTGAGCTAATAATTACATTCATTTTAAATCATGCAGCACAGATAATCTGTGAGAATAAACAGACACACTATATGTCCAAAAGTAATTAGTGAACTCAGCTGCTTTAAGCTGCAACTGTTGCTGATACAGGTACTCAATTGTGCACACAGTTTTTATAATCTCCACAGAAACGCACTGTCAATAGAACAGGAGCAGCAGCACATGAAGCCTGCATTCTCTGTAATGACGAGCACCATCCAGTACCTTTGAGATGAGTTCGTGATCCAGAACTAATCACCCAACATCACATGCCCTCACTAATGCTGTTGTGACTGAATGCAATCAAATCCTCACAGCAATGTTCCAACATCTCTGTAAAGCCTTGGCAGAAGAGTAGAGGCTGTTACTGCAGCAAAGGCTGTCCAAACTCCCTATTAATATCCATGATTTCAGAAGAAATGTTGCATGAACAAGTGTCTAAAAACTTTTGGACATATAGTGTATGACTTGATGTCTAGGAAAAAAGAAGAGTAACGTATGTATGAGAGAGCCAGGTTCTCTTTTCTGCTAAACAGCTCTGTTATGAAGAACAGGGTGAGTAATTCTCACCTGGGGCTGGGTTCCACCACCACATCAGGCATTTCTGGGACTCGGCCCTGGCTCACCGGTGGCACCTCATGGTCCAGAATGAACACCTCGTCCTGACAAATTTCCGTCACAAAGTGCAAATGCTCCTATAAAAACAGAGACACCATATACACACCATATACACTACTGTTCAAAAGATTGGAATCAATGTTTTCAACAATATAAAACCAATTTATTTGTAGAAAAATGTGAACTGATTATGTTTGTGCTGTGCAACTTTACAGGTTTGATATAATTAGGACGAAATGAAGATGTTTTAGATTATTTTGATTTTCAAAAGTGGTGATCAAATCTTAAGTCAAAAAAACTGAAAAAAAATACTGTAATCAGAGAATTACAGAATATGATTTATGCCTTAGTAAATTCTTGTTGATCCCAAAATACTCCAGAAACATTGAATACAACATCTAAAACTATTTTATTGTCCAGTTAAAGGATTTAAATGTATTGCATAAGTTACTGTTATATACCACATTGTGAACTATTGGTTCTGCACTAAAATGCAACATGTGGAGATTCCACTTGAATAATATATACAACATCATTACACTGATAGTGTAAACTGATGTGATATATTTTATTCATGTGGAAATAATGCACCCAAGTAAACTCCATGCATTTTTTTTTCAGTGGACTAACTCAAACATGACTTTCTGAGTGAATCTAAGACCTACCTGAGCCTTGTCTATACGGTAAAACCGGTCAGCTGATGTGGCTGAAAAAGAAAACAATGTGTTGTTCTAATAATTATTCCATTTTGAGTTATGCATTGCAGATAATGTGTAAGAATGAACAGTTATGACTCACAGTCTAGGAAACTCCAGTTAGGAGACAGTCTGTGTGCAGATGCAGGCCGGGGCAAACCTCTGCTTTCATCCTGAGAAAGACATCCAGATTCCCACAGTCACACTTTGTAGGATTTGTAGTGACACAAAGTGCAATTAAGAGACACACACATAGCTAAGCGTAATCACTTCATGTATTACATATGCAGCATATCATTAGACATACAGAACTTTCTCATAATATTAGGAACAAAACATAAATGGCCAACATGGCTAAATGTAGCATTTAGGCAGATGAAATTATAGTCTATACTACATTTTCTATACTAAATATTTAAATATATGCAGCCCTGCATGTTACAGCAGTGGAAAGTTTCAGCTCAAGGTATTTTTTTACCTGATAGTGCACTCTATGTCCAGCAGAGGGAGCCTGATGCAGGTCCTATTAAAAACAGTAGCACATTAATGACTAACCAGAGGATGCATAAAGGGTCAAACTGGCCTAATGGTGTTATTTGGAATATTTTATCAATTAAAAATGTAATTCCTTGATATTCCAGGTATTCCTCAAAAATTTGTTTATGATCTTCACAAATGTCTTTCCCATATTTCTTGGTCAGAGGTGCTCAATAAATAACATTTTTGTACTACTACCCCACACCTTCGAAAGGGGGTCGAAATGACTCCCTATGCTTTTCTAATGGAATTTTGACTCACCATGGTAATTTTATATATGTTTTGTCAATTGTCAAAGACTATTTAATTCCTTTACATTTTATGGATTAATCAAAAATGGTTGACTGTCAATTTCAAAAGATATTTCATATGACAATTAGTCTTTGTAAAAGAGTCAACTCGTTTACCAGAGGATTTTGTCCTGGATTGGTGTTTTTTTTATCATGTACATTTTTATCAACAATTTCATTTCTAAGAATATTTGATTATTTTATATGCCTCTTCCATACGTATCTCATTTTGTCCCATATTAACTGCTATTCAGAATTTGCCTCAGACATTAGTTGCCACAGCAATACTCAACTGTCAACTCACTGCAATCATTAAACTACTGTTCATGTGATCATGTAAGGTAAGTTCTGTCACATAATGTATTCTTTCCTTTGAGAATCTATAACATGCATTTTAAAACAGATATTCAGATCTTTTAAATCAGCTATCTAGCTAACTAACATTAGCTGACTAGGAAATTTTGAATGCTGCTTTATAGACATGTTACTGAGTAACGGCTTAATGGACTGAGAGAATAACTAACTAACTAACTAAATAAATAAATAAATAAATGTTGCTTATTCATCAGTCATTCATTCTGGCACCTCTTTGTCAAGTCATTTGTGTTTCTAATACATTATGATGAAGTTCATCTTTTTTTACCATATACATACAAGAAGCAATCAATGAACACGACTGAAACATGAAAACATATCTTCAAATACTTAAATTATTTAATTATGTTGAAGGATAAAAAACAGGATAGTTTTTCTCTGAGGAAAACCATTCTTTCCAATACTGGTCATTTTGATCCCCTTTATGCACTTGTGTAGGTTTTTTTTGGGGGGGTTCTAAGGTTAATAACATCAGCTAATGTTGAAGTTTTCAGTCCAATCCTTAATGACCCCAGTCAGTCCACACATGAGTGAGAAAATCAAAAACACTGCCAAATCTGTTCAGGTGTGTTGAGAGTTCTAAGAGAACAAAATCTGGACCAACTGGCAGTACTCAAAGACTGCCCAGGTAATCTTGAAGCAGCAAGAAGCAACATACATAAGCAGATAATGTCCAAACAATGTCCACTTTTCAAAGAGGGCCAGATCGTACTGTGTCAGAGCACCTGAGGGCCAAAATATTGTTCACAAATGATTCAAAATATTATGTTTTCAAAATAATCTACCGTGTTTCTTATCACTGTATAAAAGATGCACGAGACTTCTGTTATTGTTCGATTGTTAAGAGCAGTTTGGATCAGTAAGCACTTATAACATTACATTTAAGAGTAGCAGTAAAACATGTCTAATGTGGTAGTATGTTCCTGTTTAAGTTTTTATTTAGTTAGATGTTTGATATGTTCTTTACATATCAAATAAACAAGTAGAACGGGTTAAACAGCATAAGCTTTTGTTCAAACTTAAAGGGTCAACATTTGCAGGTGTTTTAGTTTCTTTACCCTCTCCTGTGATGTTCATGGTGTGTTCCATGTCTGTTTATATTAAATTCATTGCAGTCTTTTGAAATATGAGGCTCATTTGTTGTGGCTCTCGATGAAAACATGTTTAAATTTCCATCAAAATCTCCAGTTCTCAGTGTTAGTTTGAGCTTTATGGCTGCACTCTGAACTAAATGTGGTCAGTGAATGAAGCTGCAGGTCTAGTCAGAGAAGAAAGGCTCTTAAACTTCGACTAACTTTGTTACCACAGTGCAGCGTGTTACACTGTAATCTTACATCACTGCTGCCACCATCAGGTGAAAGGAAGGCCTGCAGCATAATGGCTGCAGGGCCACTTATAACACACTCTAAAACGAAAGACACGAGCTGATTAGAAACTGTCTGCGGGCCGCGTTTGGCCCTGGGGCCACACTTTGGACACCCCTGACATAAGCAAAAGATCAGTTAACGTCAATCATTGGAAATGTGCCAATCACAAATAGTTGGTGATGCTGTATTCATGAGTATAGAGTACAGTTCTTATATAAGTTCGACATACAGACCTTTTTCCCCACAAACATGTTTTCAAATGGCTGTTACTAATTCAGGTTCTGTTAAAATATATAACTTAGAAATGATAACTTTGCTAATTATGGCATAACTTCATTCTACGTGTACCTTCAAGTGATAGTTTGGCCAAAAATCAAATCACAGTCCGCCCCCCATCCCAAATGTTGCTGATCAGCCAAGATATGTTTGCTGTCTGATGTCTACTCTTCATTTTGTACTGGAGCTAAGAGGCTAATGTAGCTAAGTAATGGAAACTTATAGCCACCGACTTAGCCACCGAAACTTATAGCTAACAGTAGCAGCCTTCTTGAAACCTAAATTTTGTCCATTTTTAAAGATAATGGTGTGACTCTTTGCTGTGAGTCAGGTTTGTGTGCCAGGAGACTGAAGTAATTACTGCATGTCTTTGTTGATGGTGAGTTTTAGGAGCACTAAAGTGCCTGGGAGGACGCACTGCCCCAGTAATCAGCAGCAGTGCTGCACTGACGGCAGAGCAGCTGGTCTGGCAGAGAAAAACCACTCAGGGGAGCGCCTCACCTCCTGCAGTCTGTCAATGTAGAGTCGACATGTTTCTAGGTCACAGTCTCCTCTTACCACCACGATGCCAACAGGGGTAGCTACACAAACACAAACACACACAGAATTAATATCTGCCAATAATAAATATCACACAATGAAGTCATTGCTAAATCCATCTGTGAAGGCAATACAGTACCAGGAATGGGAACAAATTCAGGATGGAAACAGCATGAAAATTTCCTTTCATGATTATCACAGTTTTCTGTATTATTGCTGTATTGCTCAAATATTAAAATGCACATTTAAATAATGTGTCATATTGATAGATTATTTGTTGAACTCAAATCACTACTCTTATGAAGTACCAAAAAGTACAAAAAGATTTTTTAGGTAATGTCCTTATAGCACCCCTTTGTGGAGAATCTTCAGCCTTCTAAACATCAGTGAGTGAGTTAGAGTTAGTTACTTAGGCTACGTTTACACAGCAGGTAAAAGTGGCCCAAATCCTTTGTGTCATCTGTGTGTCAGTGTGAACAGCAAAAACACACTGAATCTGACATTTTCAGTTCCGATTTGAGACACTATCATGTGGTACTGAAATCCGATACATATCTGATATGTGGCAATGCGACTCAGTCTGAACAGCCAGATCAGAATACATGCTGCTTTTACATCAATCCAACTCGACATTCATCATAATTTCGCCCTGCAGAGACCTCATAAAGATTTGGGGTGATATTTCTGTACAAAAATTAGAAGAGACTTATCCAAAACCCTCTGTGTTTGAAGAGATTTTGAAAGAAATGACCGAACACAGCCGTAGTAGAATTAGGCTGCTGCGTCAAAGGACAGTTGAAAAATCTGTTTAAAGAATCTGAGGACATGAACCGAAAAGGTGACCGTGTCCAAATAACGTGGACTTTTTATGGCAAGCTTGAACACATTCTGGGTGATAAGCCCAGCTGTCAGTCAATGAAGCTTCATGATCGCTCCTGTGGTGCTGGTGAAGATGACACTGAAAGCTCCAGAGCGGACTGGCGTTCATTGGAAGTAATGATTGTTTACCTCTGGATGAGCACACCACGTGAAGCAACATGAAGCATTGCTTTTTTGCACATGCTGGTCAGTTTAAGAGCTGATCTTTTCAGACTAATGTCGCAGGTCACATTTAAAAAAATAATGTGAACAGCCAAACAACAAAATCGGATTTGGTGAGAAAATCAGATTTGGGCCACTTTTACTGCTGTGTGAACATAGCCTTAGTAAAATATTGAGCGAGTTAGTTACTGTGAGTTAGTTAGCTAGTGAGTGAGTTGGTCAGTCAGTTAGCAAGTGAGTGACATAGTCAGTGAGCTATGAAGAAAACCAATATAAAACAGGGAAAAACACAAAACAGGGCCTGTGAAACATAATCAATGACAAGAAAAGCAACCAGGGGTATAAATACACTGAGATGAAACAAAAAATCTGGGACTAACGAGAGGACAGGGCTCTCTGTCTCTACCCACAGGTGAGACAGATAACTGGGACAGGGTGGACACAGGAACAAAAACAACAACAAAAGCACGTGGTTAGGGACAGGTGACGGACTAGACTGGGGCAGGAACAGAAAATGGCAGAGACAGACCAGGGAAACCACGACAACAAGCCAAGTCTGTGAGGTGATTTGCATCTAAAATCAATTACAGTTTAAATAAATATTAAATTATTACCAGCACTATTTGTTTACTGCTCAGATTATATGTAACATGTCCTGTTCTTTATTGCCACTGTGACTTCTGTGATAGAAATTGTGCACAGTTATCAGAATTAGTAAAATTAGAATTTTGTATGATTATGAATGGCTTTAATATCATGGAATATCATTAAAACTGTGCCACCACTATGTCATACCTAGCTTTGCTGAAAGTAATTCCATGATATGAGCCACTGCTGATGGTTGTGTCCCTCTCTCTGTCTTTCGTTATTCAGACTGAGCAAAACCAGAATCTTTACACAAAGATTTGCTCAAACATTGTCTTTTTTTGTAATGATCATTGACACAGACTGAGTTTATTAATATTTTGTGTTTCTTCCTTTATAACTGCCTCACATAGTTTTTTCACGCTTTCATAATTTTTTTTTGTAATGAACTGCCTCCCCCGCATTCTTCACTGCTCCAAAGACTGTTGACTCATCAGTGCGTTTTTAATATTGTGCAAGTGGTAAGTGCTTGGATTTTTTTTCTCTGCATTTCCCAACATAGTCCCATAAGTTCTCAGTGGTGAATGTGCAGTCTTGACATCAGCTGAATTCATCTCGTGTTGCCTTAATAGAATAACACGCACACATGAATGTGCTTCAAACTCATTAAAAACAGAGGCTGAACATCAGTGTATCATGCTCTGTCTGTGTACTAAAGGCCATCAACAAGCTTTCTTATGTCGTGACTTAATCCAGGAGAGAGTAATCAGTGAGATTAATAAAGAGAGTAATCAGTGCAGAAATCACTCACAGTTGTCCCGCAGTCGCTCCTTGTCGAACTGCAGACTCTCGTACTCTTGCAGGCTGATGCGGTTGACCCGCAGTCGCAGGCGTTCAGGCACCGCATGCGGGCTGCAAAGAAAACAGACACACAGGCAGGACATGCATCAGCACACAGGTGGCTCCCTGCTGCACCCTGGTGTTGAAGGCAAAGGCACAACACCCATTTCCCATTTCCTTCACCGCTTCTCCACTCGCCTTATTCACACAGTGGACACTTTGCTTATTCTCAACTCACAGGTTGATAACAGGATAATTACTCAGTCAGCATCTACAAGAAAGTGCTGCAAAAATGTGGCATCCTTCATCTAAGCCTTAAAAGTGTTAAAAATGAGTCTGCAAAGACACTTTCTATAGACTGACTAATTACTGTTCCCACCTTATGTGTAACGTAACAAGTGAAATGGCCACTGTGTGAATAGGCACTCACTGATTTAGCTGAGGAGAACCATACGGTTACCAAGCAGCATGTGGAGATTATGCGGCTCTCGGAAACTAACTTTAAAGGTACAATAAGTAGAATTTGTCATTAAAGTGATACTGCAGTTTAGGGCTGCAACAAATATTCAATAAAATTTTATAATTAAAATATTCAAAAATGGAGAAGTAATTTGAGCAATGGGTACTTTTACTCGTTTTTATGAAACCGTGCTTCTGTGTATAGTTTTTGTCAGTCTGATAGGAAACAAAGTTTTGTTTGTGAAGCTAAACATTTATATAATGTAATTTTTCATTAAACATGTTATCAGAAGAATTACACAAACAAAAGTGTCAACCAGTAACATCGAGAAACAGTGTGAATGAAATAATAAATACAACAGCAGAGTTTTTTACCATCTGCCTTATCAATGTATCTATTTCTAAATGTATTCTGATTATGTTACTTTTTCATGTAATGTAACGAAATACATTACTGAACACATTTCGACAGTGTATTCAGTATTCAACGTTTACTACTTTTTCAGAGTATGTTGCCCAACCCTGACCAGTAGTGGCCAGTAGCAGCACATCTAAAGATGATCTGCCTGCACATTATGCAAAAACAGCGATTTATGATTAGCCTCTTTTCATGCCAGTCGAATGGCCCTTTCCAATTAAAGCGGCACTGATATCTTGGCAGTAGTCAGAAAGTCGGGCTGTCAAAACTCTATTTCTAACCGTCTGTATTAGAGCTCTAATTTGAGGCGATAATATTGGTCGGTCATCTGGAACATCGTTACTGACAAGAGTTGACCAAAAAGCTGTTTTCAGTTTTTAAGACAATGTGGTGACACTGCTCTCCTACAATGCTTATCACTGTCATGTTCAAACGGTCTCAGCAACCTCCTCAGGGGTGCCAGATTGGGAAGGATTCCCCATGAAACAGCAGTTTTTCCATTACCTTTTAGCATTTCAAGTTTCATAAATATATAAACATAAGATTTAATCACTTAAGTGAAACACATATCTTTGCATATTCTTATAGAATATTCAAATATTCAAGACAATACTCAAAAAAATATTTGAAAATGAAAATGTTTGATAGTTGCAGCCCTACAGCGTTTTAAGTGGTGATGGTAAATGCCTGTGTACCACAGTCTGTTTTATTACAGCAGGGAGAGTATAATGTGAAAAATATTACTTAGTGTACCTTTAAATATATCAGTAACCCTTAGAAGCCTAGAGTTTTTGCTGTGGTTTTGCTGTACTACTTAAGCGGAGCTTTGGGATTACATCATCAATTACATAATGAATTTCATTTACATTTGATTTGCATTTTGTATCAACAGTCTAGAGTCTGCACCTCCTAGAAGCGACAAAACATAGAAAAAATCCATAGAATGTTTTTTTTCTTTCCGTCCACAAAACAATACCTTTTCATCAAATCCGAATCATAATAAAATATCTCCTCTACTACTAACAAACACAAATGTGGTATTGATTGACAGTTTAGAATCTGCAATTTCAAAAGAATTTCTCTGCTTGTTTCAATGCGCTACGACTCAGAAGTAATTAACATGAAATGACACTGTTTTTGGTCATCGCCAGCCATAACTGTGACTTCTAAGGGTTTACATAAAACTATTGCACATGAAGGGGAAAGAAGAGGGTTATGAAAAATTATGCTGAAGAACAATTGTACACATTTTACAAAGTTAGTTTAGGCTTCTGTGGGTAACATCAAACGTTCAAGTGAGCATTTATGAGATCTAAACCCATCATCCAGCTACTGTTCACCTTTATCAGAGGCAAAAGGGGCTTCTACCTTGGACCACATTTCACTGTGAGCTGATGAACCACCAAAACTTGTGGCACTAAAACACACACTGGACATCTAGGTGGAGCAGACGAACACAAGCACGCACACAAGAACACTAACAAAGACGCAGAACTTGTGTGTGCTGTCTGCACAGTCACACACGGACCCTCCATCCACACTCACACACACGTGCACACGCACAAACACACACTCGCTCGGCACGGCTGAGCAGTGTGAGGTGGGTGTGCGAGAGTGTGTGTGGTGAGGGTGAGAGAGATATACTTACACAGAGAAGGAGTCTGGGGGAGCAGAGAGGCGGCGCAAATCTGCTGCGCACACTTTCTGAATGCTGAACGCCAGCAAAGGCAACACAGGAGCACAGGCAAGCCAGAGAGAGAGAGAGAGAGAGAGAGAGAGAGAGAGGCAGGGGTAGATGAGAGACAAACATAGATAAGGGGGTCAATTATTAGCATGGAGGAGGTGGAAAATTAAAGAAATAGTTCAGCAAAAAAAAATGTAATTTACACAGTTTTCCCTTTCTCCTAGTAGAGCTGATAAGCCAACATGTTTGGTGTCTGAGGATTGCTTTTTGAGCTATGAGGCTAATGTAGCCTATAGCCTATAGCCACCAACTACAGCTATAAACAGTGACAGCAGCAGCCATCTTGAAGCCTGAATGTTGTTTATTTGTCCATATTTAGCAAGTAATGGAAATAAAAAACAAGTAACAAGTAACAAAAGCACAGCAGAGCTTGAAATACTTCACTGGGACCTGCCTGCGTGGGGGCTCAGGTCAGGTCCCAATTTCACCTTTGGGTTCTCATAGTCCACCTCCAACTTTAAACAGATTTGACCATGGATTCTGCTTCATTTTTTCTCCTTACTTAATATACCTCTTTAATACCTGGCATGCCTGAAGCCCCCTCATATTGTTAACAGAATTTAGCATTAAGGAACGTGAAGCCCACAATCACAGGAAAATGGCTGTGAAGTAAATAACACAAATTGATTTAGGAGAGGACAATTTACATCAGCCAACCAGACATTTAAATTTATTTTATCTGGTTAAAAATAAATTTTTATCTTATAAGTAATTTGTTCTATGTACAGAAAGAGTTTTATGAATGAATGAGGTGAAGGTTAACATTATGCTATTTCAGCACCACACAGATAACAGCCCAGTATGGAAAGTTTATCCATAAAGATCCACAAAAAACATTTGGGATGTTGCTCGCCTCACAAAGCATTGCTTGATGAATAAATTCATGGAATTAAAACTTAATTCTGGACAGCTGATTGTTTTATTATATTATATGATTTAATGACAGTTACTATTGTTGCTACATGGTAATTTAACTGGCTCTATCATTAAAAACATGAGCTTTTATTCAACACCATTAATGATGATGAATCAGTTCAGACAGAATGTAGTTATAGCTTGGGTCAGTTTCGGACTCAAAACCATGATGTGGACTGGGTCAGGTCGGACTGGGACAGGAAGTACTTGCGCTGTATTTAGGTGCAGACCAAAATTTTATAATACGGACAAAATTATTACTCGGTAGGTTATATGCTTATTTCTTTACTGGAATAATTATAAGCTTCATCATAAGCTATAATAGCATCATAGCTTAAATGCAAGACTACATAAGAAAACTTCAGACTTCAAACGTGTTGATGTGATTACATTTGGCATAATGGAAAAATTGTGCAAATTAGATTTTTCACCAAACTACCGCTTTAAAGAAAGAAAAAGCAAATGTAACAGAGAGAGAGAGAGAGAAAGGCGTGCTAAGGCACTGCAGAGCACAACACATAGGAGTGAAGAGGGGTACGTTGATTAGTGCTGTTCAAAAGGCTCTTTAGACAGGAAACAGTGATGCAAGGAGGAACTGGGAGCTTAAACAGGGAAAGACTAACAGCAGGCAGAATCAGACAGGTTAGTTACACAACCTGATACAGCCACCCAACTCTTATACGTTATGTGTATTTGTGTGTGTATTTTGTTCTAAAGGCAGAGCTTTGACTCATTTATGGTACAGCATGTGTGTAACTAGCTAACTAGCTGTCTAACTAAAAAACTATCTAGCTAGCACACCAACTGCCTGGATAACAAACAAACAAGCTAACAAATTTATTGTTAAGCTAATTCATTCATTCTTGTACATTCAGCAAGGTGACTGTTCATCATTACTCAAGTAGCTTCTGTACGCATCATTGAAAGGGGGGAAACTGGCATTGACCCACACCAGCAGGATCTCATAAAGACATGTATGTATATAAAGTAAAAGGCCTAAAGCATATCCTACATACGTAAGCAAATACAGGGCATATTAAACAGGGCTGCTACCGCAGTATAACAACAAATGTTTACTAGTACCAGAAGGATTAGCTCGATCACAGTGACAATATTTCAGCTGAGCTGTGGAGATGACCACAGGCAAAAAAGCAGGGGAGCTATGTATGAGTGGCCCTTTGCATCTGTGTGTGCACGTGTGAGCATCTCACTCGTTGAGCAGCGGGACTGAGGTGCGTCTCTTGCTTTTCTGCACCATGTTGGCCTGGTTGCGGAGGGAGATGCGGAGTGTTGAGGGCGCCAGGCGGCACGGCTCTCCATCCACCTGAACAGGAATGGTCTTGTAGGTGGTGAGAGTCACCTCCCTGCACTGGTGCAGCCGCTCCCCGTGGCCTCCGACCTGCAGCGCCGCCTGGTGGCCAGGAGGAGTAAAGAAAGGTTGTGTGAACATCTGTTCAAAAAAGTTTAATGAAAGTTTTCTTTGTCAGCTTGCAATGACTTATTAAATAAGTAACCGTTTAGATCTTGCTATTTTTCTTTGCACAACTAATAAAAGTCCAACCTTGGAAATAATGCCAAACCTCATGCATTTGATTCCTTTTGTTATGATGTCAGCACTCATCAGCACTCAAACCTTTCAGCTGTTTGAACCACTTTTTACTTGAGCCAAAAGATTTTACACAATGGTTTGGAAAAGTTAAATTATTAACTAGGCAAAATCTGCTCTTCATACTTAGGACACTTTTATGAACATGAAGCAAAGTGTCAAAATATAAAGTATTAGCAAATAGCTGTTTTATGTCAATAAAATCTTTTCAGGACTTTTTTACTGCTACACTGAAAAGTAAAAGAAGACAAGGTGTCCGTAAAATAGACAGGCAGTGTATGTTCACCAGCAGTATCTATCTAAGCAGGCAGAGTAACTGGAGTGGAGCTACGTACCAGGGAAGCCATGGTGAAGCCGATGACCTCAATGTAGCCATCATCGTGCCGCTGAGGTTCAAAGTCTCTGTGGTCTCCTGTGTTGCCCCAGGGCATGGTCCCCGCACAGTACCTGTGAAGGAGGTGTGATGCAAGTTTGTGAGAGTTTGAGGTGGAGGGTGATGACCAATGATACCCAGGTCGAAGAGGTCACATGTGCCGAAAAACCCTCAACGCTTAGAAGACAATAACAAGTTATAACGTAGTTGATTGGTCTAATCAACTACGTCACCACAGTGTTGCTTTTGTCTTTTCTCTCATTATTTTATAAGTTGTATCAGCAGTCCATTTGATCCATATGCTTGTTACGGCCTTTATGTTTACAGAATCAAGGACTTTTGTCTGACAACAAATGCAGTGAGAGACTGACAGGAGACGCATTTAGAAGCCATGGAAATGTTAGGTATAAACAACTATATATCTCGCTGTCAACTTATGATCTGACAGATGATAGATGATCCGATGAGATACATGGGTGCCCCTGGTCAAATGAGATGTTTTGTTGATTTCCTACATGTGACATCTATTCATCCTCTACAGAACACACTTCTGCACATTTTTTGTGCACAACTACTGTTTATTTGCTGAATTTAAAATATAAGAAAAAATCAAACTTGAAAAATGATCTGTGTAGAAGTTATGGCAGCTTTTATATTTCAATATTTTTCCCCCAATCTTTTAAGCTGTGCAAATAATGGAAAAAAACGTGCAGTACAATTTGCATTAAAATGCCATATCTAAGTCTGATCTTTGCAGAGAATGTGCAACTTATTTGCACTTTCAAAATTAAAAAAAAAAGTAATGACTGGGGTTATTCAAACTTTCGCTTATAACTGCAACTATATACCTATACATGAAGACAAGAGTGACAGATTTTACCCATACTGAAAAACATTTAGAAAGACCCACAACACATTGGTAGTGAAAACCCAGCATGATAAAAGGTTTATGGTGAACATGATTATATGCACACCTGGGAATATTTAAGAAGACGATGCACTGGAATTTCAGCTCCTGGATCTTGGCAGTGAGATCTGTTCCATCACACTTGGCAACCCGATGAGAAGGACGCAGAAAGAGGTAAAGGAAGAAAACAAAAACGGCACAAAAAGCAGATAAACAGTGTCAGTTATGGGGGGCATTCTTACAGGGGGAATGTCACACTTTGGTAAGATTAGTAGTGTGTTGGTGGGCTTGTGGCACCCTTCATTACTGCTACAGCTAATGGAACGGACAGGGCACATCAAAATCAGTACGCCCGCCCACTCAGGCCAGAAGCTTCCGACAGGCCCAGACCACTCACCACCACTCTGACGTGCTTGGACAGGTCCCTGGAGCTCCTCTGCAGGAAGTCAGAGAAGGCAGCCTGAGGGGACAGCAAAACACACACACACAGAGAGACACAGTCATTTTCTTTCTCTACTTCACTCTCTTTTTTATCTCTCCAACTCTCTCTCTCACTGTTTCTACAGAGTCTCTCAGTCAGTCACTCAAGACTGGAGTTCTACTCACCCCTGCATAGAACATCTTGTTGCGGAAGCGGCTGTTGAATTTCTCGGGGTTGGCCTCTGCATGGTAACAGAAAGACAGCCATGTTTGGTAACATGTTCATTTCACTACAGTTTCATAGTTCATTTCATAAAAATGGACAGAAGTACAGAAGAATTTAGACTTCATAGTGGATGATGTTTTTATCTATGTAACATACTGTTGTCCACTTTTATAGATAACAGTATGTCATTCTGTGTCAGAAACCACATAAGCAACTCTATTTGAAATTACTTAACAACTCGACACAGAGGCTGTGACACTGAAATGGATCCCTACTCTCACTCTTGTACTGTGTTATATGGAGAGATATTAAGTTCACCAAAAGCAATAAATATGCATTAATCAATAAATTAATTCAGACACTTTTTTATCATCAACCTGCATCAGTATTCACCAGCTGCAAAAACAAACCAATATTAGTTGCTGGAGCAAGGCTAAAGCTCTTAATCATAGCTGTCATGGACGTAACGTTTTGAACAACGTAGGGGACGAGGACCCAGAGAAATGTATGAAGTTTGATAGCTATAATAATATTACATCTCATAAACCTACTGACCTCTGGATTCGTGGAATTCGAGTGTGACGTGGGCATCAAAGCCAAGGCTGAAGTAGTTATTGAACACATTCAGAGGAAGCTGGAGAAAGAGTTAAAAAGCATTTCAATAATAAGCTTAATATTTTCCCCTTAGGCTGACTTTATACAGTGAAACTTACACAACTAGCTACATGTTGTGAGCTGTCTGCAGCATAATTTCTGTGCAACCTGAAAGTTAAACTAAGTACTTCAAAAACAAAGCTGAATGCAATACATTCAAGTAGTTAGGAAATTAACAGCTCGTATTTTTTGATACGCTGTATCGTTCTTGTTATAAAGTCACCTGTGAGGCTTCAACTGTTGCGGCTAAGCTTCAAATGAGCTGCAAGTGCGCTTCACATTATGCAACTCGAGTACAATTTAGGTTCAAGCAAATTGAAGTTGCATGAAAGTTTGACTGTGTAAAGCCAGTCTTGGGGTCTAATTTCCAGTGCTTTGAGTGGTTATGACATCTGAATGACCTTGCTCACCTTCTGTGTGCCCTCTTCGGGCTGGACAGGTGACCACTCCACCTGCAGATTCCAGCGATCCAACTGGACCACTGTACCATCCTCAACATGGCACAGGATCTTAGACACCGGCTCGTCTGTGTAACCCTGAGAGAGAGTAAGAGAGAAAATAAAAGAGAGAGAGAGAGAGAGAGAGAGAGAGAGAGAGAGAGAGAGAGAGAGAGAGAGAGAGAGAGAGAGAGAGAGAGAGAGAGAGAGAGAGAGAGAGAGAGAGAGAGAGAGAGAGAGAGAGAGAGCGTATGTATTGAGTATAATGTCTCTTTAAAGCCTTTATAAAGCCATTACCTGCCATTACATTGACCCACAGGGGCTTTTTCCTCAGGGGATAAATAGAGGTCTTGAATGTATGAATTGAGATGATTACAGCATCTATTCTAATATACAACAAGAGAAAGACTGCAAGCAGGTTATTGCCATTACTGTGTCAATAACAGTATTTCAACTGTAGCATGAGAGAAAGAGAGAGAGAGAGAGAGAGACTTCACAAGGTCACTGCTTGCTAGTCTCCAAACCCCTGCAGTCAGCAGCAGTGACAGTACGTGCTTAAGAATAAAATAATGTCATTTTTTCTTGATGCACTTGGTTAGTATTCTTCCCAATTAAACCCACTCTTACTAATCCAGCTCTGCCTTCAAATCCTACAAAATCACACTAAACCATAAGCTGAAATTGCTGTTTGTCTTCATACGTAGCAAACAAGCAAACAAATAAGCAAAAAAAACAAATCTTATCCCGGCAGCTGCTCGTCATGTCTCAGTGTCCCATTTACGATATTCAAAAAGAAACAATCGTTCTTTTATTCATCTCTTCCCCCTGAACAACATCAGAATGCGATTTCCACACGGATTTAGCGTGGCATTCATTAGTGAACATAATCATTGCTAATAACCCCCCACCCCCCACCCCCCGTGCCTCTGTGGTACCCTCAAGACCTGCCCCCCCACCCCCCCCTCCACTCCCTTCTTTCTCCTTTCTCCCCTCCTCCTTCCCTCTGCTCATGTCTGCTTTTGAAGCAGCTTGCATCTACAGAGGTTTAGGAGTCACTACGTGGAATATATTTAGCCCACACTCATTAAAAGGCTTGCTAATTAGCATTAGCAACACAATTTCATTACACTCTAGCTCAAAGCCTCAGAAGCCTAGAGGGCAGTGCTCAGGAAGTAAAAGGCAGTTGTTTGCGGAGATAAGAGTATCACTCGTACACATGCTCATACATGAGTGCCCTGTGACATCACATCCAAATTAAAGGGTGCATGATTCAGATGATACATACACTGCCACTGGCTTTAGGAATCACTTGTCATATTGATAACTGTTATTCAGTAATAACTTATACAGTATAGATACCAACTGATAGTTTATTTAAAATTTAAAGAACAGTGGTATGTAAAAGGCGCACTGGTCAAATGACGTTTTGTTGATTTTCTAAGTGAAAATAAATTAACGCATGAACACAAGGGGACATACTTGTACACAATTGCACTAATGCACAATTACTGTTACATGTGTCTGCCATAAAATTTTTATTTTCTGTGCTGTTTTTGAAATAAAAGAATTTAATGTAGTACGTGGATGAAAAAGTAAAGGGGGAAAATCTAGACTTTAGGATGTAAAATAGAGTAGTCTGAAATTAGCATCATTGTACAAAACTGGTTTGATGTCAAAGCATCTCCATTTGCCAAAAATAAAGATTTGTAAAAAACAGAATTGCTCATATGTCTTGCACGTCCTATCGCGTGAGGCCAGAATAGAGATAACTCACTCCTCCCCAGTTGAGCGTCCTGGCGAGGTCATTTCCTGTGCCAAGAGGAAGCACTGCCACAGGAGGCTGTGGGTTCAACTGCAGTTCATCCAGAGCAGACAGGATCCAGCCCACCTACAGAAAACAGCACACAAACACAAACATGAGACTCATATCTTAACATGTCTCACAAAATATCTAATTATATCCCAACATACACCAACATATACCAACATATGACAACATATACCAACATATCTCAACATATTCCAAATAATATTAATATATCCCAGCATATAATAACATACCCTAACATATCTCAATATATATCTCAACATGTCCCAACTTATATCAACACATTCCAACATATCTCAACAAATCCTGACATATCCCAGCATATTCCAACAAATCCCAACATAATCCCAACTAATATCAACATATCCCAACATATCTCAATAAATCCCAATATAGCTCAATAAATTTGAATTAGGGCTGTTAGATTCCAGAAATTTTAGGCTCGAGTTTATTCTGATTCCAAGAGACAGGAATGAACGGAGTTGATTCCAAGAGTCAAATCCACAAAACAGTCTCGATTCCAAAAATCAAGACATAAAGAGGGACACCTGGCAAAAATAAGGACTACAGCATTAATTATAATTGAGGAATATGAAGTTTGATTTCATTAGGAAAGGAAATTTGGATTTGGAGAGCTAACGCTAGCTAAATTAAGCTGACTAATGGGAGCAGGCTAAGTCGTGCCTGATTCTCCTATTAATTCCTTCAGGTGGGTAGGTGTTTTGGCAATGAGAATGTTGTTTGACTGTAAGCCAATTTTTCATTTTAAGCCTATTTTACATTGTAATTTGTTTTCCACTTTGTCTAAAGTAAAACACAGCTGGACTATTGATGTTTGAGCTGTGGAAGGATGCGTTTTTCATATAGGCTATCTGGACAGTGACAGCAGAATATCTTAAACTTAAACTTAAAGTGCAGGGTACGTGGGGCAAACTTGAACGTCACTGTGTGGAGTCAAGCCCAAAGCTTTGGAGTCAGGTCTCGATTCCCAAATGTCTGGAATCAAGAAATTGATTTTCGATCCTAGCCCTAATATAAACACATCCCAAAATATCTCAATATATATGTCCACCCTCAAATTAAAATATATGAAACACAGATGAATGGACCAACAGAAACAACCCAAAATGACTTGGAAAAAAACTCTGGTTCCATTGATTTATATTAAAAGTAAAGTAAGTTTTTCCTTCTCCTGTAAAGGTACCATTTTGGAGATAAGAGGTTTTGTTCCGAAAACAGAAATATAAGTACAATAACTGTAACTACAGTTGTGTGAAAATTAACATGTCCCCTACTTGCTATTCCTCACATCTCTCACCAGGGGGAGGTGTTTTCTAAACATTTCAAATGCTAGATTCAGGAGACACACAGCCACATTTAGGCTTACCGTCCCGTCTCCTCCACAGGCAAGGATGCGAAGATTTGGCACTTTCCTGTACAATTCCAATCTGGGAATGAAGATGGAAACCGAAATGAATAAAAGACCTTGATGTCTGTATTACAACAATCCACCTATGGCATACACCGACTGGCCAATTCATTAAGTACAATGCCTTGAATCTACACTCTTTGTCCATTTTATCAGCTCCCCTTAACATATAGGGGGAACTTTGTAGCTCTACATTTACAGACTGTAGTCCATCTGTTTCTCTGGATACTTTGTTACCCTGTTCTTCAATAATCAGGTCTCCCACAGAGCAGGTATTATTTGGGTGGTGGATCATTCTCAGCACTGCAGTGACACTGACGTGGTGGTGGCATGTTAGTGTGTGTTGCGCTGGTACAAGTGGATCAGACACAGCAGTGCTAGAGTTACCCATTCATGCTGTTGACAGAATTTAGCAAACCAGGCCTCACAAGGTACAAAGGCCCATGCTTGTGAGAAAATAAAATATGAGAAAAATACAACAGCACATTACAGAAAGTTCACTCAAGACAAAAAAAGGTTGGTCAGTTGGTCAGTGTCCAATGTCCATTGCTTGATGAACGGCTCATTTTTATTTATTATTTTAATCCATGATTTGATGATAGCTATTATCATCATTATGCTGTAATCTGTATGAATCTAAATGATAAAATCTTATCAGATTGTATATACACTTCAGATGAGGACGGGCCTGTTCGGGTCAGTTTCATGCAGGATTTTGCTGGGGTTGAGTCAGTTTTGAACTCAAAACTTGATGATGTGGTTCTGGTCAGTTTGGGTCAGTCTCAGACAAAATTTTGTGGGCTCAGTCATGTTTCCAAAGAAGACAGTTGGTAGAGTGAAAACATCTCATATATTCACTAATGCTGGATGATTCTAGAAGCCTCTGTGCTCTCTGAACAGGGGGCTCACAGGGTGATCAGTGTGCTGCTATCTGCTGCTCATAAAGCCCAGTTAAAGCCCAGTTAAAGACCAGTGTATGTGTGTGTGTGTGTGTGTGTGTGTGTGTGTGTGTGTGTGAGCAGAGGGACTTTAATCACAGCTCTGTCAGGCACAGCTCAGCGGTAACCCTGCAACCATCCAGCTGGGTTCTGCCCTCCTTCACTCCCTCCATCCCTCACTTTTTAGCACTCTCTCTCTCTTTTATCCTCTTATCCTATCCTGTCTCTCTCCTTCCCTTGCTCTTTTTCTCTCTCCTTTTCTTTCTCCATCCCTAGCACTCTCTTTCTCACCCTCACTCTCTGTCTTTCTCTTTCTCTTGTTCCCTTACTCTTTCTTTTTCCCTCTGTTTTTTATATATTTCTGCCTCTATCTTCTTCCCTTCCTCTCTCGTTCTCTCCTACGGTCACCTCCCTTACTCTTTCTCATTCCCTCTATTTCTTTATATCTCTGCCTTTCTCTCTCTCTTTGTCTCACTTCACTTACTCTTTCTCACTCCCTCTATTTCTTTATGTCTGTCCCCCCTCTCTCTCGCTTCCCTTACTCTTCCTCCGTCCCTCTCTCTCTCTCTCTCTCCCTCTCCCTCTCCCTCTCCCTCTCCCTCTCAAGCTGCACTGTCAGCTCTGAACAAACAGCAGAGCCCATGTGAGCGGCCCAAACAGCTCAATTAAGCTGCAGACCAGAGCAGGAGACTGGTGGGATCTGAGAGCAGACAACAAAGCAGAGAAGCTTCTGGAAGACTGAACTCCACTGCATAGTTACCGTTGCTACCTAATTAAAGTGTTAACAACAGAGAAATGGTGAGTTTAAGAACAGAGACAGTGAGAGAAAGAGGGAGAGAGACATAGGGAAAGAGAGAGATCATTTTCTTTATTGTTATATATGTGTATGTTGCTTGTTGCAATGCTCTGATACAAATGTAAATTGTTCATGTGAATAAAGCAAATATTGAATTGCAAATATTGAAAATTGTGACAGAGAAAGGGAAAGAGAGTAAAAGAGAGAGAAAGAGAGAGTATGAGAGAGAAAAGCAAGAGAAAGAAAGGGAGACGGGAAGCAAGAGAGAGACACAGAAGGGGGCACAGAGAAAGGAGATGGGAAGAGAAAGAGAAAGTGAGCAAGAGAAAGAGAGAGAAAGTAAGAGAGACAGAAAATACAGAAAAAAGAATATGAGAAAAGAGAAAGTGAGAGAGAGAGACATAGAGGAGACAGAAGTATGTGAGAGAGAGAGAGACAGAGGAAAAAGAGAAATTAAGAGAGAGACAGAAAGAAAGATATATATATATATATATATATATATATATATATATATATATATACATATATATATACATATATATATATATATAGAGAGAGAGAGAGAGAGAGAGAAACAGGAGAAAGCAAGAGTATGACAGAGAAAGGGAAGAGAAAGAAAGAGAGAAAGGAAGCAAGAGAGACACACAGAAGGGGGACGAGAGAAATACTCCAAGAGAGAAAGGGGGATGTGAAGAGAAAAAGAGAGAGAAAGAGGGAGACAGAAAATAGAGGGAAAAAAAATATAAAAAAGAGAGAGCAAGAGAGAGAAACAGAGACAGAAAGAGAGAGTGTGAGCGAGACAAAGAGGAGAGAGAAAGTATGTGAGAGAGAAACATGGAAGAAAAAGAAATCAAGAGACAGACAGAAAGAGAGAAAAGAGAGAAAAGATAGATCGAAAAGAGAGAGAAAGAGAAAGTGAGATAGTGTGGTCAAGGAAAGAGAGAGGGAGAGAGAGAGGGAAAGAGACGTACGCTTCTCTTGGCCCTCCCTGGGAGAGATCAAACACCTGCCGAGGATTCAAAATCCACATGAACATCTGCAGCAACTTGGTCCCCTGACAGAGAGAGAGAGAGAGAGAGAGAGAGAGAGAGATTAGGAGAAAGTGAGAACCCCACCAGCTTTCTTTCCTCCTCTCTCATTAGTGTGTGTGGAAGGTAAATGTCTTTGCCCACCTGATTTCCCCCACTCTTAGGGTTAACAAACACCAGCACAGGCTTCATTAACGGTGAAGGTAGCGGCTTTAATATGAACGGTCGCCATTTCGACTCCTGCAGGAGAAAACAAGTTTTATATGAACGCATATCAATGCAGGTACTCACACTTACTCACACAGCTGCTGTAAGCCGTTCCAACAGATGTCAGAGAGTAGGGGTTAGGGGAAGGGAGACTTAAAAAAAGGACAGCGATGTTTTGACAGGAGCTAATCACATCAACCTGTTAAGCCCCACCTCCAGTTGGAGTCGCTCGGTGTGTCTCAATTTGAGCACCTCTGTTGTGCGCCAGCCACTTTTACTGCTAGTGGTATGTTTACACTGGAAAATGCAAAGAAAGGTAGTGCACTGTTAATGCCTGGATCATGCACACCTCATTTTGTGCGTGAAGGGAGGAGTGAAGTATGGTGGGAGCTCTAACTAGGAATCTCAGCTCTCTCAGCTGGGAATTGCTATTTGGAAGGTCGGTATGGTGTTCTCACCCCCGAGCTCAGCGTATGACATCAAATCAACATGGCTGCTCGTACCATCAATATTAAAGAACCCCTTCTCTGCCTTTAAATCATATATGCTTTAGATAAGTCAACATACAAACACAATAGTTGGTTAAACTGTAACAATGACCATAAAGTTCACTGTTTGGAGAAGGTAAATACATCGTGGAAGTTAGTTATCATGCATCTCACTAATGTTAGCTTGCTAGCTTGCTGTTAACAATATTCACTTTCATTTTTCATGCAATTCTGAGCTCGATTTCCCATGTCCGAGCAAAGTCGAACACAGCATTAGTCAATGTTTGCTAGTTTTTGAGTTTTTTTATGACATACCCTTAGGACAAATAGTCCTAAAACACTAGCAAAAACTAGTTAACTCTAGCTAATCAGCTAACATTAGCTAAAATCTGTGCTGCATTAACTAGCTAGCATATGTAGCTTGCAACTCATTAGATTAGTGTTAGCCAGATGACAGCTAGCCAGCTATCTTCAGTAGTTAGCTTAAGTAGTTAGCAATTCATTCAACTTAGTGTTAGCAAAACAATAGCTAGCTATCTTCAGGTTGTAACTGGCTGCAAAATACCAAAGCTGCTCTATTTACTCCATTGCTCGGGTGCCAAAGAAGTTTTCAGAATGGCTAACATACAAGGCAAGACCACCACAACAGTGTACAAATGTGAGTTAGATGTCTTTGCCCTTCAATGTTATTGATTTTAAAATTAGCAATGTGTGGTCATCTAAAGACTATTCGAGGGGATTCAAAGACATGAGGGACTATGTGGTCATCCGAAGACTATTCAGGGGGGATTCAATAATGTGAGGTACTATATTGTCATCTGAAGACTATTCAGGATTAATTCAATAACAAGAGGTACTATATGGTCATCTAAGTACTTTTCAGGGGGGATTCAATTATGTGAGGTACTACATGGTCATCTGAAGACTGTTCAGGGGGGATTCAATAATGTGAGGTACTATGTGGTCATCTGAAGATTATTCAGGGGGGATTTAATAACGTGAGTCACTATGTGGTCATCTGAAGACTATTCAGGGGAGACTCAGTAATGTGAGGTACTACATGGTCATCTGACGACTATTCAGGGGGGATTCAATAACGTGAGGTACTATGCGGTCATCTGAAGACTATTTGAGGGGATTCAATAATGCGAGGTATGTTGTGGTCATGTTGAAGGCTTTTCAGGTGTGATTCAATAATATGAGGTACTGTGTGGTCATTTGTCATTTCCTTTAGTGCCAAATTTAGACAGTACTACTCAACAAAAATCCAGGCACTACATAGTGCAGTACACAGTGTATAGCACTCAAATTGAGACACAGGGGCTATTTTGAGGGTTTATGGGTTTCTCAGGAAATGAAGGATTTCTTGTCATTGCACAAGAGACGCAGTGGCTACTCACGTCCGTGCCCTTTTTGCTGGTTCTCCGTTTGAATGAAGTCCGTTTTTTCCTTCGAGTGGAGTTTTTAAACGAGCTCTGAGAGACAGGAGAGAGACAGATGGCAGCTAGACTTCAGCTAAACCTAAAACCAACAATACTGAGAGAGGACTTTGCACAAGTGACCTCTGCTGCAGTGCTGTTCTGCAGTTAAATAAGGAAACAACATTATCAAATTCATTAGCTGAACTGGCTCCTTTTTACCAGGAGGTACGTTGCACAAAGAAATGATTCTCAACTGAATTTGCTACTAAATCAGTCTTTACCGTACATGCATCAAAAAAGAGACATGTTTTCTTTACACCTGAGATGCACTACTGCTATAGTATAATTATTTGCCTGGGTGTGAGAGACTTCCCTTCTATTAACCCCTGAATTGAAAGTGACAGTAGCATGTCACTCATCAAAACACTGATCCACCCCCTCATACATCCTCCAGTCACAGCTCTGACTAAATCCACAAACCAGCTGAGCTACAACTGGAATGTCAGTATGAGGGTGTGATTCAGTTTTTGATCAATTCTGCTGTCTTTAATGGAACAGATAAAGATTTATGTAAAAAGTGAGGCAAAAAGCAACAAGTCTTTTTTTTCTTTAACAAGTGCGCGAGAGCATGTAATGGTAAAGACTGCAGTACAGATACATCCTGATGATTATGCTGAATCAAACAGCAGGACATTGAGGCCAGTGGAGCATATGACAGCAGGCAAGACCATGCAGCCCAGCCCTAAACACACAGATCAGTGTCACTTCTCATTAGAGTCCCTGCGTGGCATGTGCACACACAAACACAATTTGCTTTGGTTTCAATTTAAGGAAAATAGTTCAGCTAAAAATCAAATCTACACAATTTTCCTCTTAGCCGAAATACAGCTGACTAGCCAAGATACGTTTGACCCAAAGTGAACAGAAGTACAGACAATATTCAGGCTTCAAAATGACTGATAATACTGTTTTGCAGCTATTTGAAATACATTTGTAATTTTTTATAATGACAGTATGACATGCAGTGTCAAAAACAATATAAACAGGAGTGTAACAGTGCACTGTGACTTCATGATATCACTGTGCCAAAACTGTGATAATGTGCATCATGAAGAACGGACACTCTATTATTTATGCCATCCAGTGCATTTGTATTGTTTGAACACTAAAGTTTTAAACTGTCAGCACCAATTAACACCTCACTCCAGCACTTCTCCTGCCTCCCACCTCCAGTGTCATAAGTTGTAAAACAACATGATTATAGTCATTATTTGTCTTCATAAGAATTTTATTCACTGAGCAACCCAGCGGGGGAAGCTGGAGCCTATCCCAGTGGTCACTGGGCAGGAGGCAGAAAACACCCTGGACAGGTCACCAGTCCATGGCAGGGCAGACAATATTATATAATTATATTCTTTATTTATATAGCACTTTTCATGCCGGTTGCAGCTCAAAGTGCTTTACAGACAGATGATAAAGATTAACAGTAATACAGATCACGTGCTGAGGTGAGCAGGTGTTGAGTCATTTGGAGCTTTAATAACTAGTAGCAGAACTTTGAAATCTATCCTAAAAGATACAGGTAGGCAGTGCAGTTCTTTCAAAATGGGAGTGATATGATGTGATGATTCAGGTATGCAGTCTGCATGATACTTATTGGTGGCTGCAAGTTTCCAGTACTTGTAAACTACATTAGACCTATAGCCCCAAGACAAAAATAAAGAGGCAAACCTGGGACACCTAACACGTCTTGGCTGATGGACTACATTTGGGAAAAGGGAGGAAACAGTGTAAATCTGATTTGTCACTAAACTATTCCCTGGGCTGAAGATACAATTAAAGGCAGATGCTTTCTCACACACACACACACACACACACAAACACTAACAAACAACCTTACCTACAAAAAAAGCGCATGAAATACTCACAATTATTGGCCATTTTATGAAGTCCACTTACCATATACAGTGTTAACATGTTGGACACCCCCAGTCAAATAATGTTTTGTTGATCTACTAAGTGAAACTAAGTTAACACATTGTCTACAGGAAAACTGTTTCCTTTTAATTCATTTGCTCCGTTGAAGATATTGGAAAAAACTAAAACGTACAATATGAAAGATGCCATAAATTTTGCACAGGCCACATTTTATGTTTTTTTTCCAATACGTTAAATTCAGCAAATAAACAGTAATTGTGCCTCTGTTTGAACGTGTTCTCTGCAGTGGATGATGACAAAAATATCAACAAAATCAGCAAAAATCAACAAAATATGTAATTTGACTGAAGTTTTACAAATGGCTGTAGGTGCATGTTGTAGGTTTGCAGTTACAGAATATACCTCATGTGTTGCTGCTCCATCTATCAATGATCAGGACCCCAACAGGACCACCACAGCATTATTATTTGGGTGGAGGATCATTCTCTGCGCTGCAGTGACACCAACATGGTAGTGATGTGGTAGTGTGTGGTGCTGGTGTGAGTGCATCAGACACCGTGGTAAACACATAAAGGCAGGTGTTCCTAATACAATGGCCAGTGTGAGTATTTCATGTGGTGGTTCTGTTACTCTGTACATCCTCTGTGCTTTAAAACAGAGGGTCTCTTTTTACTTCAAAAGCTCACATGCACAAACACCCACAAAACAGTATGCTGACTGACTCACGGCCCGGTGTGTACCTGTGGCTTCCTGACTTTGATGATCCATGAAGGGGGCACGATGACCCCTGCGTGAGCACCCAGTGAACACGGCTCCTCGATCTGATGCAGCATGAAACATGTCACCTTGTTGTGGAACTGAAAGCAAGACAGACGCAGCAGAGTCAGCAGCCAGTCCACACACAAGCCACTGAGTGTGCAACAGTGACACTGTCCACCTAGAATAACACTCACAGCCTGCTTGCACCAGGAGCAGCTGATGGCAATGATCTCCTTACTGTGGAAGAACTTCTGCTGGAAGCTCTGTGGAAAAGAAACACAGAGAATCGTTTTCATCATGAGGCTTTCTGGAATCCAACAGATGATGGCTGACAGCATTAATGGAGTGTAGTGTTGACTGAGGAGGCGATGTTTACAGAGTTAATGGAGTTTACATGGTTAGTAGAGCCGACTCAGTTAATAGCATTTATTGGCTTCTGGGGTGTTTCTATTGTTCACGGTGTTTATGTTGATGGTATTGATGCCATTGAGGAAGTTAAAGGTGCTAATATTAGCATTCTTGACTTGGCATTAACTCCATCAAACCAAACATATTACTGGCAATCCATTCAGAGAATTTGGCAATATTACTTGCTGCTCGAGCAATGTCCATGTTGGCGATACAGCAAAATGTATCAGCATGGAGCATTTTGGGTGCTCCAAGTTTTCTATTAATATATATAAAGTAAAAGAGATCTTTTTTATTGTTGGATGCCTTGTGATTTTTTCAGAGTGAGCTTGTACAGAGCAACACTCAGATCAGTAAGCACTTACTATTGATTTGTAGTAACGATAAAATGCGTCCCATGTCCGATTAATGCAGTTTCTTGTTCAAAAAGTTTGTGAAACAAATAAATAAAAATCTACTTTTTTAGAGATCATATTTGTTACATATCAAATAAATGCAAGAACAGCATTTAGAAGGCCTTAAAAGAGAAATGGTTCAGCCTAATTTATACAACTATAGATGTAGACAATCAGCCAAGACATGTTTAGTGTCCAAATTTCACTTCTTTAATTTAACGCTAGACCTACAAGGCAATGATCCTAACAGACACTAGAAGTCAACAGTCATCAAATATTTTCTGTCTCAAAACTTTGCTACATAGCTAAACACAGTGAGCTACTTTAGACAACAGGTATTGTGCCGAATTCTGCCTCCTCCACAGAATCCGTTTCTCCTTTGCATGTACGTACATCGTACAGGCACATGGATGCTAAATTATGCTTAAGATTATTTCAATTTTACAGTGAAGTTTAATTATTTAGAGTAAGCCAAACTGTTTTGTAAACCACATCAACAAGTCTGGATGACCTTACTGAAAACCTGGATTGGTTTGAATGGGTTGAGAGAAGTTTTGGGGATGTATTTAAGATTTGGATGACTTTTGACGTCTACTGTTTGTTAGTAACATTAGCCTTGTAGCTCCAGTTTAAAAATACAGGAACAAAATTTAGATACCAAACATGTCTTGGCTGATCGACTACATGCGGAGTGTACATTTATAATTTAATCCTCCTAAATTAATTCTAAGTTTATGTCTTTTTTTTGTTTGGCCAAATCATTTCTTCATTGGACTTTTATGGTGTTGGTAGCATTGATGGTGTTAGCAGTGCTGATGATGCTGAAAGTGTAGAATTGATGTTCAGGTGTTGATGATGTTGGAGGTGTTTGTGGAATTGAGGTAGCTGATGGTGCATTTGAGGTCACTGAGGTTGTGAGACTGAGGGTGTCGAGATGGTTGATGGTGTGGGTGGGAATGAGGTTCTTTAAGTTGTTATTGGTGTTGATGGGATTGAGATTATTAAGGTTGTTGATGGTACTGAGTTTGATGTTGTTGATGTTTGTGAGTCCTTGATGTTGATGTTGATGATGTGACCTACCTTGCCACACTGACGGCACTTTCCCTCTTGCCGCCGTCGGTGGACCCAGTGATGTCTTAATACATTCTGTTGGGCCAAACACACAGAGACAGTGGGTCACATCTTATCATGGCAGCCTCCTTCATTAGCCTCATTCTGTCAGTGTGTGATACAACATAGCACTTGAGCATATCAGAAAATGCATGTGCTGTTTGTACAATGAAATATTACACATACATCTCGAAGGCATCGTGAGCTGCCCTCTTTAAAAGTTGGCTTACAACGGAAGTTGATCTGCAAGCAAGAAAAAGAGAAAGGCAGGTGAGAAGGAGAAATACCAGAGCATGGAGGTTGAGAGTTTACAGTAGCGTTCATGCACTCTTGGTTTGGATGTACAGTTGTAGGAGCTCTTAACTGATGAAGTTTACCTTTTGATGAGCTTCTTTAAACTTTAAGAAGGTCTACTGAAAGTTTCTTTAGGGCAATGGTTCTCAAACTGGTCCCCAGGGACCCCTAGATGGTTCACATTTTTGCTCCTTTTATTCATAACAAGCATAAAAATCACTAGTAGTATTCTGATGTCTTGGTAGCTAGCTTGCTAGTTTTTCCGATCCACAGGAAAATTCTAACTCAGTTCCAAGGAGCAGGGTGACACTCGAAAACAAGGGGCAGGGGTAAAAAATCATTCACTATCATTTATGAATATAAGAAATCATATTTCTACTATGTTGATCTAAACAGTGTGTTAGTAAATATGCAAGTGTTCACCTTGTCCAGCTGCTCGATGCAGGCTGTGTGGACAACAATCTTACATGCTGCACATTTCCTCCTGGGAGCCGACTTCTTAAAGGAACCAAATGGCACACGACACAGGACAGCAAAAAAAAAAAGAAAAAAAGAAAAAGAAGAAAAAATACACATACTTTACTTACAACAGAGCAGCAACTATTTGTCTCAACCACTGCTTGCTTCCCTGTATTTGTACTTTAGTACACAGTAGCTATTGTGCTACAAACAGACTCTTTTCCCCACCCGCCGCCTGCTCTAAAAAAGCTCATTTCTTCCCAGGCAAAAGATTTGCCAACTTGCCTGGAGTGGTAATAAAAGACTCCTTTAACACATCAGAGTGCCGTGCTCAGCTCCAACAAAAGCCTGCCAGAGAGTGAGCCAGCATTAAGTCCCCTTTCACCTGCCTGCCTTTATGCCTTTATCCTCTCCAGACTAATAGCAATCTCCGGCTTTCAGCACGCGCCGGCCGCATATTACCTCATGAAAGGCAGTGTCATTGCCGAAGCACTGTAATGACACTTCTTCGTAACTCCTGCTCATCTCTAGCCTCTGAACACAGGACCATCTGACTCCTTGCTAATGGCTATAATCACAGCCTTTTAGGGATGAACAAATTTATCATTGATCTGAAGGTGGTGATTCAACTGCATCAATTTTGGAATTGTTTAATGTATTATAATATAATTAAAATATTAATATAGTATAATTCTAGTCATATTCAATAAGGTATGTGCTCATTTGGTCAGAATAAAATTTTTAAGCCATTTTAAAGCATAATATATAAAATTTTAAAACTTTTTTTACTGTCTATACTTCTCTACTGTAAAAATATTTACTCCAAATAATTATGAATTGTGATAATAATAATTAAGAATATCAAGATAATCAAATAGAATCATCATGAAATCTTAACATGTTTTTGCCTCTTTTTTTCACCATTGGACCTTATTTCTGTTTTACGATCTGCCTTTTGTAAACAATTCATTTATTTCAGAATATGATGGACATGCTGAATACTGCAATAATTCTCTCATAACAGAAATTACAGGGTATCTGTTGCCGCTCACATGGTTTTGCTATTTGCTGCCAAGCAAATGATCTTTCCTGAGCAGTTATACGCCAACAGGGTGTTGTATTTATCTAAATCTGTGCGATCGTCTGGTTTACTCACTGCAATCTTCACCACGCATGTCTCCTCGCCCAGATAACACAAGTCTCCAGAGCAGTTGGTCTCCAGCCACAGATGGTCCCCATTCACTGCGTTCTCCTGCACAGAACACACACACTTCTCAGGTTACATACACTCAGCAGTTTACACATGTCTTTTAGAGAAACTGTAATACACAGTCTTACAGAAAATACATATAATAATAACATAGAGGTAGGAATAGCAAAATACAAAAGGGAAGAGTAATGTAGGAATAAGAGTAATGTAATAGGAGTAATCTACAGGTTCACTCAAAGAAAAATACAAGTCAGTTAAAAGTCCAATCCAACGATCCGTATTCTGAACATACACAATGCACAATGACATCAGAATCACATCTGACAGTTTAGCATTTATCAGCAAATAACTGCTTACAAAAAGAACTCAGTATCAGACTGACACCAAGCAGAGCAGAATGTTTAGCCTAAAGTGCTAAAAACTGTGTAAACATTCCCTCAAAGGTACAACAGTGGTTTTGAGGTCTAATTGTGTACCTTAATTAAGTTTTTCCCAGGTGAAAAGTACATATTTGTACCTTTTCATAATCTAGTGTTTTAAAACAGAACAATAAAATAAAAAGGCTGGAGACGAGACAGGGTGCGTGGAGTCAATACAACTTAGAAAATAGAACTTATTATTATTAGGATTATGGTACAATTATGTTCCCTGACTAAAGGTACTGAGATGTTCCCTAGAGGGTACCACCCCAGTGACAAGAGGGGTACTGCCCCAGTGACAGTTTCATATGTCTTTTTTTCTGAGAGTGTATACAAATAAATATAGTGCTAATCCTGATAGATGTATGCCCAATTTCTACATATTATAAATGTGTATGTATCTGCATCAGCATCAACATCCACAGATATGTGTGTGAAAAATATCAGATATCGGCTCTGACCCACAATTCCCATGCTGTGTATCCCTTTATTGTACACATATGGAATTATGTAGTGACCAAAGTGTTAAACAGATTTAAACTATCTAGTTTAGATTCTTTAATATAGCTGTGCACACTCTCTCATGCAGCTTCATGAGGGAGCTACCTTTTCCAACAAGCTTTTGGATTTTTACCAATTTTTTCTCCAAATTTAGTCATGGATGATTCACACTCGCTAGCTAGCAAGAAAACAGGAGAAATTCTGAAAGAAAAAAATTCATACAAATCAATATGCATCAACTTGTGCTTATCCAGTACTGTGCAAAAGTCTTGAGCAGTTATGGAAATATTTGAAACCATTTATCTCAGCAGAAAGTCTGTGTTTGCCAGTGCAGCTGAATAAATACAAATAAACATAAATACACACACGCACCCACACAAACACACACATACACACACACACATTTTCTAAGCAGCTTATCCTTCTGGGTCGCGGGGGGAGGTTGGAGTCTATCCCGGCAGTCACTGGGCAGAGGCAGGAAACACCCTGAACAGGTCGGCAGTCCATCGCAGGGAAGACAGACAGACAAACAGACATATATATCCACACACACACACACATTCACACATAGGGGCAATTTAGCGTGTCCAATTGGCCTGACTGCACGTCTTTGGACTGTGGGAGGAAACCGGAGCACCCGGAGGACATGGGAAGAACATGCTAACTCCACACAGAAAGGACCCTGGTCACCCGCGAGAGCGCTACCCATGCTGAACAACGTTAATACAGTAAAAAGAAATAAAAAGTTATTAGTACTTCAGTTAGAATAACACAGTTAGAAGAACACAGGTTTAGTTGCTGGTTACTTGCTGTTCTCTAGCCGTTTAATGGGATTTGTTAAATTCCATAGCAGCTCATCTGATTTAATTTAATAAAGGACTGATAAGATAAACTTGGTACTGTATGGTAACTGTATATAAGATTAAGATAACATACTCACACAATTTAAATAACAATGCATTGTTTACTTGTTTATTTGCATGTATTATAATGTTAGTATTATTCAAACAAATACATGTTTACTGTCCAAATAGATACCTTTGCATATCATTTTTTTGATATAGCCTAAGACTTTTTAAATCCAAATTTCTCTAAATTCCAAATCAAAACTGACCTTTTATTCTTTGTTAGTTCATGTCCCTCGTCATATTAAGCACAATTCTTTACACCACACCATTTAAAAGACACACTTCTAGTTTTCCTGTAATCTACACACATGGGAACCTGTAAGTTTTATATTGGCTCTGGACATATCTGGAGCGTGGGGGGAGAGAAAAGGGCAGCAGTGACGTTCAGGAAATGCCCCACTGGGCCCCACCCCTCTCCACATGCCCCACCTGCATTAATGAGCCAATACACTGTTATGCCAGCAGTCTTTAAGAGCCGTGCCAAACAGAACTGTGCTCATCCTCTAAACGTATACAAAATCAAACACAAGGATACCAACACTGTCAAAAGAAAACTTCATATAGTTCAATTTTTTTCATCTGAGAACACCAGGCTCCCTTTTACACTGCATAACCATATTATGATGAATGGATCAATGGAAACTTTGAAAAGCAAACCTTACAAGCTGATTTAAATTACATTAACAGGTGTTAAACCTTAAACCCAAGGCTTATTTTTCAGTTACACTACTGTACAAGTTTGGAATCACTTGTGAGGTGAATAATATTTGCTACTTCATAAACAATAATAACACAAACACTGTAGACATCAATCTTATAAACTAGATGCCAAAAGGTGTTTCTAGATTTTTTTATTCAGTAGCTCAATATTTTGTTATTATATACTGTAAATTTTACACTGCAGCAATTATTTACAATACTTTTTTTGTTATCTCCAGGTTATCTACCTCCAAGATTTTTCACCACCTCATATTTTAGAAATTCTGGATGTTAATTTTGTTATAACTACATATTTTTTCCATTCCAATCATATTATATTTCTTAAAATTCTACAGCAGTGGTCATCAAATATATCTGACCTGGTGCCAAATTCTCAGGAAGCAGACAATCTTTGGGCCAGAGCCCTGCTTATATAGCCAAAATGTCTTATCTGGAAAACAGTCGATGTTATAAAAGAACATGGAGGATGGTTCATGTAAATTAGATTCTTTAAAAAAATACTTTTTTTCTGTCTTGGATGCGAGGTGCTAGAACAGTCCCTATATGTGTTTATACATTTCATTAGGGGTTGATGGTAGAGATGTAGGTACTCGAATGCCCGGTTAACTGCTGCAGATGCCAGTATTCAAAAACTGACAACATTGTTTGGGTATTAATTATGTGTCATTATGCAAACATGGAGAAAGTATACAGTCTAACAATTTAACAGACAGGAATTTTATGTTTTAACAGGACCGTAAAATGTCTTGTATGTAATTAACTGTAAGTAAGTGTACAATATATTGTATTTTGCTAGTTTGAAACATTAGAGCCTTATGTGAGAATGTTATCAAGGATGTGGCTTTAGCACTAATTAGGCTACCTACCCCAGCTGATGTTAACTAAGTCAGAAATGGTGAAAACATATTTCTCTAACAAACTGACATGTACTGACATGAACCAAACAAATTTACCAATTAGCTCAATATCTGAATATCAGAATTAGTCATAATGCATGTGTCTACATGATGCTAGAACAGTTTTCAATGCTTTGCCCCACCACATAGTTTTTATATAACAGTATTGTTTTGGGGCCAGAGAAAATTAGTGCATGGGCCGGATTTGGCCCGTAGGCCGCTAACTGATGATTCCGGTTAAACAGCTTCCTGCTAATTAATTGAAAACTCTGAAATTGCAAAGAATTGGAACAGTAGTGTATGAACATTTTTTCCTCCTTTTATAAAGTTACCATTTAAGCTATACAGGCTTGTTCAACATCAACCATATGACACCTCCCTATTCTAGTACCTCTATTTGCACACTGATGTATTGTATTGAGGTGGAAATTAAACACATTTAAATCAAGTAAATTCACTGCATCACTGTTTTCCACTGTGGATGACTGTACTGTATTTAGCGTGTTAGTGAGGGCGAGTGCTGCGCTGTATCAGTGTGTTGGCACTGAATGTGTAGGATGTGGAGGTTTAAAGCAGTCAGGCGGAGTGTGTGACTCACGGTCCAGTCGATGGTGGCGCGCAGCTCCTTGGCTGGTCCGTTGGTCAGGGCGGTTATGGAGCTCTGGACAGGGGCCAGGTGCTGCAGGCCTGAGCGCGAGATGGCTTTCCTACACATACACAGATACACAAGAAACAACAAGCAGAGCTTTCAGCAGAGAAACACTCAGATAACCTTTCCAGAACCTCAACTGAGGTCAGATACAAACCACACAAATGCTTTAGAGTGATCAGAAGCGGTGTTTATAGAGCACTTTTCATAATGGTAGCAGTTCATTGTGCTTTCAAGAGGTAAAAAGCTCAACAGTAATAGAAGAAATTATGAGTATTAAAATCAAATAAGGCAATGACATAGATCAAATTAAAAAGATAAATACCAAACAGATATAGAATTTTAATTAACCCCTAATTAAAAAGAAATGTTTTCAAATGTTTTTTTAAAAGTGAGCACTGAGCTTGACTGTCTAATAAAAGGTGGAGCTCCACAGTTTAGATACAACATAACTGAACAAGGCCTCTCCATGTTTTCTGTATTTTACGGAAGGTATTTGTAGAAGGCCAGTATTCGCAGATCTAAGATCACGTGCTGGAACTTAGACAGACGTTCTGTGAGGTGAGTGGTGTTGAATCATTTAGAGCCTTCAAAACTAGAAGCAGAACTTCAAAATCTATCCTAAAAGATACAGGCAGCCAGTGCAGTTCTTTCAAAACAGGAGCTTTGTTAGGATCCATGCGGCTTCATTGTGTACAAGTTGTAGAGGAAGTATTGTTTTCTTAGAAAGACCATTAAGAAGAGCACTACAGTAATCAACACTGCTTGCAACAAATGCATGAACAAGTTTCTCCGTGTCACTCTGAGATAGAAAAGGCAGAACTTTAGTGATATCTCTCAAATGATAAAAAGCTACTTTAGTGACTGTGTTTATATGTGGGATGAAACAGAGCTTAGAGTCTAAGATTCCACCCAGGTTTCGTACTTCAGGTTTGGTATATGAAGCAAAAGAGTCTTACTTCTCCTAAACCGGCTTTCTCTGAATTTCAGGACCAACGATCAGTATTTCAGTTTTTAATTGATTTAGTTGTAGAACATTTTGTGTGATCCACTGAGAAATACCTGACACAGAGCAGCTAAGCCTGTCAACAAAGTCCTGATTATCAGAAGGAATGTAAATGTATAGTTGCCATAGTATGTCATCAGCAAGGCTATGAAAATTGATGTCACTTTTCCTAATGACATCACCTAGAGGTAACATACAAAGAGAAAAGCAATGGCCCTAAATCTGAACCTTCTGGGACTCCATAAGAAAAGTCACATTTCTGATGAATCTCCCAGTGAAAGAACTGTCTATTCATTAAATATGATTTTTAAAGCATGCTAAAACTGTACTTGAGAGGGCTATCCAGTATTCAAGAACTTGTTTTGTTTCTCCTTTAATTTGTCATATATACTGTAGGGTGCAAAAGTCAGAGACCACCCTTCATTTACTGAATTTCCACTCAAACTGGCCAGTAAGCAAGTTATTCATTTTCTGCTTCTCATGATCCAAACAACCCATACAACTTCAATGATGTTGAGGTTTGGACTCTGAGGTGGTCCGTCCATTGTTCTTAGAACATCAGCAGCTTTTTTGTTTCATTTGCAATTTTTTTTTCCTCAGTAACAGCCTCTTGACATCTACACATCCTTTCAGACTCATAGTGTTGAGATGTCTTCTCACAGTGGAAAGATGGACAGAACATTTTTCAGATCCAAAGCAAAAGTGGAGCTTGATTTTCTCCTCTCGCTCAAAGATGAAAGCTTTAAGTGCTGTTTATCTGATGATGACATTTTTGGTGATCTACCAGGTCTTGCATGGTTGTTAGGAGTCTCATTTTCTCTATAACTTTTAATCTTTCTTTTAACTCCAGTTTTGGAAACGCCTGTCTTTTCCCTTTTTTTCCTTAGACTTGAAAATGGGAATTGCAGTTTTACAAGAGGTCATTTCTGGCATTTTTCTTTAACAGCAGGCATGGACTCTCTTCCAGTGGACCTCTGCTGACCACTGGATTGGAGCATCTCACATACAAAGCTTCTGAATAAGCCCTTGAATATTGTTGATAAATGGATAAAGAAGAGTGTAAACCTTCTCAAACCAGCAACCCACACACACACACACACACACACACACATGAGGAGCTCCTCCAACTTCTGCCAAAAACAAAATGATCCACACCAATCTGTTGACCAGTCTGCTTGGCCAGGAAACTCCCATCATTCCCTGCGTGTGAGAGAGACTCTGCCTCATATGGTATTGAACAGCAGACACCAGCAGCACTGTTTCTGCTCTGGATCAGCATGTGTGTGTGCGTGTATATGTGTGTGTGTGTGTCGCAGTCAGGAGCCTGGGTGAGTCAGCATCATGTGATCAGTGTTCTCTCCCTGTCTTTCTCTTTACAAAGCTCATTACTGTACAGCCCTTCTATACATCCACAGCTCCCTCACTGTACAGCTACACTGCGTATAAACAGCTCCATCACTGTACAGCCCCTCTAAGCGTTCACAGCTCAATCACTGAACAGCCCCTCTGTTTATAAACAGCTCCATCACTGTACAACCCCTCTATACATACACAGCTCATTACAGTACAGCTCTTCTATACATCCACAGCTCCATCACTGTACAGCCAAACTGTGTCTAAACAACTCCATCACTGTACAGCCGCTCTAAGCGTTCACAGCTCAATCACTGTACAGCCCCTCTGTTTATAAACAGCTCCATCACTGTACAACCCCTCTATACATACACAGCTCAGTCACTGTACAGCCCCTAGGTTTATTAACAGCTCCATCACTGTATAATCCCTCTATACATCCACAGCTCCATTACCATAAAGCCCTTTTTATAAAGAGCTCATCACTGTACAACCCCTCTATACATCCACAGCTCCATTACCATAAAGCCCTTTTTATAAACAGCTCATCACTGTACAACCCCTCTATACATCCACAGCTTATCACTGTACAACCCCTCTATATGTACACAGCTCATCACTGTACAGCCCCTTATACATCCACACTTCATCACTGCACAGCCCCTCTATATGTACACAGTTCATCACCGTACAGCCCCTTAATACATCCACAGCTCCATTACCGTACAGCCCCTCTATATGTACACAGCTCACCACTGTACAGCCCCTCTATATGTACACAGCTCACCACTGTACAGCCCCTCTATAAATCCACAGTTCATCACTGTACAGCCTCTCGATACATCTACAGCTCCATCACTGTACAGCCCCTCTATAAATCCACAGCTCAATCACTGTACAACCTGCCTTTACGTCCACAGCTCATAACTGTACAGCCCCTCTATAGGTTCACAGCTCCATCACTGTATAGCCTGTCTATTTGTCCACACCTCATCACTGTACAGCCCCTCTATATGTCTTCAGTTCCATCACTGTACAGCCCCTATATATGTCCACAGCTCATCACTGTATTGCCCCTCTATACGTTCAAAAGCTCTATCACTGTACAGCCCCTCTATATGTCCACAGCTCATCACTGTATAGCCCTTCTATACGTCCACAGCTCATCACTGTACAGCACCTCTATACATTCACGGCACAATCACTGTGCAGCCCCTCTGTTTATAAACAGCTCCATCACTGAACAGTCCCTCTATACATTCACAGCTCAATCACTGCACAGCCCCTTTATACATCCACAGTTCAGCACTGTACAACCCATCTATATGTAAACAGCTCATCACCATACAGCCCCTCTATACATCCACAGCTATATCACCATACAGCCCCTCTATATGTACACAGGTTATCACTGTATGGCCCCTCTACTCATTCATAGCTCATAACTGTACAGCCCCTCTATACATCTGCAGTTGATCACTGTACAGCCCCTCAATATGTACACAGCTCATCACCGTACAGCCCCCTTATACATTCACAGCTCATCACTGTACATCCCCTCTATACATCCATAGCTCATCACTGTGTAGCCCCTCTATACATCCATAGCTCATCACTGTACAGCCCCTCTATATGTACACAGCTCATCACTGCACAGCCCTTCTATGCATTCAGAGCTCATCACTGTACAGCTCCTCTATACGTCCACAGCTCAATCACTGTAACCTTAAAGAAATAGTTTATCCAAAAATCTCATTTACACAGTTCCTGTAGACTGGAATTTGATTCCCTGCCATGGTTGTCACAACACAATACACCAATAAGAGTCCTTGGGCAAGACTCCTAATGCTACATTCTCTAAACTCTGTAAGATAGGGTTTAGTTTATAGATACTGACCTTGTGACCTTAGACCTTTTACATAAATGTGGTATGGCCGTTTTTTTGCAGTGTCATTTTGTATTGTCACATTTGTGAAGTCATGTGACTAACTGAGGAGCACCAGTTTAGAGCTTGTATTGTGACTCTCCCTGGTGAAGGCACAAGCCCAAACGCACTGGGAATTTTTTTGTCTATAGCCATACTGTGAAAAAGGCTTTTTAACTTAATGAAGAATGTAATAGACTTTCGCTGCTAATTTCTAATTTAATAAGACATTTTTGTCAGGAAAAACATGTTTGTTCTCTCACTGGGTGAGAGGGTGGGGTTAGGCTAACTCAGTAAGCCAAAACAAGTGTCCTCACAGGCCAACTTTGGGCAGCCCTAATCTAGAATTAATTTTAAATCCACAGTGAAAAAGTGATGCACTTATTTTACTTGATTTAAATGTGTCCATATTTTCCACATGAACACATCAACACACTGTGTTTTTACTTTCACTTTCCTCACTTTCAGCAATAACTGTGTTGAGGTTATATATCTTATTCATGTGGAAATTATGAGGACATTTCAATCAAGTAAATTCAGTGCAGTCATTTCAAACTGTGATCCGATAAGCCGCTCTTTCAGAGCAGTTCAATGGTGATTGTATGAACCACTTGCAGCCATGTGGTCACCGCTGGTGCAGCAGGAGCCCAAACTGACCCCTCGCTCCATGTATAGTCTTACCCCTGAGCAACAATGGTGGTAGGGGCAGTGAGAGAGAGCAGAAAGATGGGGGAGGTGGTAGGCCAGACACATGACACCCTGCTGAAAGCTTCAA